GGGAGCTGGGGGTTAAGGGCCTTGGGGCGCCCAGGGAGCTGGGGGTTAAGGGCCTTGCTCAAGGACCCGGAGACATGCTGAGCCACGGTGCTCATGGCTCAGACCTGCCCACTGCAAATACTCACCCTCTTCTTGTGGTATATTCTCCATTTGTGATACTCTTTAATCACAACCTCAATCCTCCGCTTCCAGTAGCTTCCCTCCAGGATAATCGCCTGCACAATCACACAACAAACTACCTTCCCATTAATCCTGCATATCAGAAAATAAACAAGCAGAAACAGCCGTCCACCCGACCATTTATCCTGGTCAGGGTTACAGAGAAAGGGAAACTGTGTGTTTTTTTTTTCTCTCATAATAATCTCATACGTTCCTGATCATGTTTTTACATCGTTTTTCCCATGGACCAGGAGGAAATTCTTGATTGCCCTACAACCATCATGCCCAGTATGTCCAGTAAGCTGTGGCCAGATGTTGAGCCTTGCTGACGCTGCTCCTTCCAGCTGCTCACTCACCTCAGGCTTGCGGTGGGCGTCTGCCTCTGAGCCCTCCAGCGGCGTGACGAACCCGCACACTGGGTTTCTCCTCTTTTCCACATCTGTACAGAGTCAAAGACAAGTGATGAGTCCAATCAGTCTAAGGATAACAGCACAGAGGGCAGGGGACACCCTGGACGGGATGCCAGTCCATCACAGGGCACAAGGCAGGGGACACCCTGGACGGGATGCCAGTCCATCACAGGGCACAGGGCAGGGGACACCCTGGACGGGATGCCAGTCCATCACAGGACACAGGGCAGGGGACATCCTATGGGGAATTTTCATTTTTTATTAATTTATGCCAGTTAGCCTAATCACAGGGCGTTGGACTGTGGGGGGAAACCAGGGTACCCACAGGAAACCAATGTAAGACGAGGAGAAAATGCACGCTCCTCACCCACACAAAGAGGAAGCGGGATTCAAATCCCCAGTCCTGGAGGCATCGGACAGCAGTGCTGAGCCACAGTGCCACCCGCAGGTACACATACATATGGCAGCTGTTTTGAGGTTTACAAACCAACTTTTTTCCATTACCTTACAAATTATAAAACAAGTTTTTTTGGGGACTATGTTTTTACTCTAATACTTTTCTGTCTTGTGAGATATTTTTCATATGTTTGTGTTTAAGTGTGCATATTCACAGGCCAGTCTGCTACCAGGAAACTTTAAACTCTAACTTATCGCACAGCTGAAACCCTGAGCCCAGCAAGTGAGACACTGCTTGAAGAAGGAACACTCACACTGAATATACCAAGCTCTCCAAATTCCATTGTTCAGGCGGATTTTGTCCCGCCAAAGCAGACGGAGTCCTTTGAAAGATTTCCATTTGGGGGAGACAATTTTTCCACTGAAAAAAAGATAGAGAGAAACGGTCAACCGAGTTTTACTAATAAAAAAATCATTTTTTATTAATTTATTTAAATCATTTTTCCTCAATAGCCAAGGGGAGAAGGTCCAGGAGACTTTACTACAATCAGAATTTGACCGTTCAGTGCTGGATAAAATTTATGAGAGCCATCTACTGTTCTCAGGAGTAAAATCTGCCAGCTTGAGCCGACCACCTGACCGCATGGACCTGACAGCAGAGGGAATGGCCAGGAGTGGGAAGCAGGCGGCCAGAGCGGGCGGCTGTCCATCATGGCGCTTTACTGCGCCTTCCACACCTCGGAAGGTGGGGAAAGGGAAATAAAATGGGACCTGGCCACTCTTATTCCGCTGGTTGCCAGGTAACATGGGGAGACCGCTTTCTGAGCAATGTTTGCGCTAGAATCACGAGAGCGAACGACCCATCCAGCCGAGAAGAACATCAGCAGAGTGTTACTGCGGCGCACATTAAGCCTGACGGCTCATTACCAAACAAACCGTGAAATTGCTCCATTACAATATTGTTTTGCCGGACAAGCATTACCATCCTGCCGTATCCGAAGTCTAGCGGTAAAGACCCTGTTAGCCGAACGCAAATGGCTTCGAGCTTCGATCACGCTGAAGACAAACTGATTTTCTAACGTACCTCGAGGACAAAGAAAATAAGTACAGCCACAGCTATCTGTTGATTTATTATGTATATTTCCCATTTTGCGAGTAAATCAAATGAATTCAAAATTTAAATGAATGTACCTGAACAATGGTAAACAAATGCTTTTTCTAATAATAAAAAAAATCTGTGTTTATTTAATAATATGCTGTTCAAATAATAAAGTGTTTGGGGATGGGGGGTAGTGTTTTTTAACTGCTTTTATGATCGTCAGTAATTTTAGCTTAATTGCCATGGTCTTCCTTCATTATGCAACGCGCCTGACGAGGCCAGAGCTGTTCAAAGACTGGCTACCTGATTTAGCAAACCAGCAGGGGAGACCCTGCACGGGTTTAATACACAGCTGTCTCCTGCAATCAATACTTGAAATTGGGCTGGTGTTCAATAAAATGAAATACATGGTGTGCATTTAATTACTACACACACGTACATTGTGTGTGTGTGTGTGTGTGTGTGTGTGTATATATATACAAACACACACATATATATATAAAATCTTATAACAACACTGGACAAACAAAAAATACCTTTGACTATATGTATACATACAGCATATTCACATTACATAAACAAAATTTTAATTCATATCATTACAAGGATAAAAGGTAACAAAACCATTAAATGTAGAATAATACAGACTGATTTCTTGCAAAGACCTCGATTACAATATCACTTGTAGTAATGGTGAACATTTACATTTTCAGTTACATTTTATTTGTTTCGAAGACACTTTTATAATAATAGTAATTGATACTTTATTGATCCCTGTGGGGAAATTCTCATTACGCCTCTCCCAGCATGTTCTCAGCAGGTGACAGCAAACTGTCTGTGAAGGGCAGCCACCTGTTCCAGGGCCCACGGAGCTGAAGGTTAAGGGCCTTACTCGATGACCAACAGATGTGCCGAGGTCCAGCTCAAACCTCTGATCACAGGCACAGAGGCTCTGCCCACTGAGCTACTCCAGAGTAACATTCATTTCTGCGAAAGGACCACCCTGTCTTTGGAGCAAATAGGGGGTTAAGGGCCTTGCTCAGGGGCCAACAGTGACATCACTCTCCCAAGCCTATGACTTGGACGGTAACCTCCTGATCACAGGCCCAGCATTGTAACATCCCGAGCCACATGGCAAATGCATTGGCTCAGACCCTCACACACCCGGAATATTTCAAGGAACACCAAGACCCTGGTTGTACAAACAATTAAGGAAAATTAATGGAGTTTGTATTGTACATATTTTTTGCTTGCATAAGCAAACAGGCAATCTGCAATCTGTGCCTCTCAGACCTCCCTGTTCACAGCCTGTGCTCTAGCAAAGCTTTAGCAATACTGCCTAAAAGTGTATCAGCCTACAGAAGAGGTACAGTGCGAAATCAGGCCACAAGCAGCGTTGCCAACAGCAGAAAAGATTGACTTTACAAACCAGCAGTGGTAAACATACAGACATGATCTAGGCTTCTCTGAACACAACACTTGATTTTATGTAAATCTAGAGGGTATATAGACTCCATAGCCAGCTTTTTTAGGTACACCTGCTTGTTAATGCAAACAGCCTGCTTCTCCAAACAGCCAATCACATGGCTGCTACTGAATACATCCAGAATCACGCAGAGAGCGTCCCAAGGACCACTGACTGTCTGCTTGTACATTAGGATGGCTGGAGGATGTCATGATGTCATCAAAGCTATTTTGAACAGAGTATCATTTCTAGCGTCACACATGGTTGTTCCAGCATCATACTGTGATTTTCACACACTAGAGTGTCTGGAATTTTTACAGAGGATGCTGAAGCAAACAAGAAATCCAGTCAATAGCATTTCTGCCACTGAAACCAGCTTGCTAATGAGAGAGGGGGATAGTCAGACTCATTGGCGCTAACAGGAAGACCACAAGTGCAAATATGACAGCTCAGTACAAAAGTGATATGCAAATGGACACTCTTAATGACTCCTCAACCTTTGAAGTGGTTCTGAAGGCAAAAGGTGATCCCATCCGATACTGACTGGCTATAGTGTAAACTGCAATGTCCCCTAATCAAAACTGCAAGTGTGGTTTTCAGTTGCCATTAACTAATTGCCTTGCCATATGCCATGTTTCCCAATGTCTGTTTTTCACAAGAAATAAACAGAAATTACTTACTTGGAGCTTTTACCATGTGAGATGTAACAATCATAAAAACTTAAGTGGAATAAAGATCACGATTATGTGTGACATTCAAAACAATGTCCTTGCTCAACGAGAAGCACAGGAGTGACTCCATCTGTCATGCCCTCGGCCTCAGCCTTTGGTACAGTTTCACACTGGCTCTCCGGGGATAAATCAAACCCAAAACCAGCCTAGCGCGACCCCTCCAGCAAACCGAGCCAGCCGCCGCTGAACGGCAGTTAAAGAAACAGCCAATGCTTTGCTTTCACGCGAAAGCAGCAAACCTTCGGACAGTTATAAATGAGCCCACAATCCAAACGTCTAATTTAGCGAGGGACTGAGGTATTATACTTGCAGCCCTTCAATAGTATTTGCTTCTGTATGGAAAATAAGAGTACTTGTGTACTGGCGTCCTGTTCCGCAGTAAAGATCTGTCAAACATTTTATGGCTGAGGAGATAATGATGAAAGACCGAGGGCGACTCTTTGGTAAACAACACTGGATTTAGTCTTTTGGACTTTAGAACAATGTCACACAAAGCTGAGAAACAAAAAAAATCGTGCTTTTACGGGAGTGTGTAAATCATTGTTAATTAAGAGTGACTTATCACTAACCAATAAGCAAACTAAGGGTAACATTTTAATCCCCACTCTTAAAATGTACGTTAGCAAACAATATTAAGAAAAGTGGCAGCATTTCTAAGAAAAAATAATAAGTTGGTGGGTGCATTTGTGTAACGTGCTTTTAATGTTACACATTTAGGACCATAGTAAAACAATGCATCGTTTACCTGTATGCCAGAGTCATGCACTCAAACAAGCGGGTCAACGTCGGGTCGATGCTCAGGCTTCCTGAGCTCAGCGGCCCGAACCGGTAAGTCTGGCACCATGTCCCGTCCACTGTGTCGAAGTCGTATCCGGCAGCCGCCCCGCTTCTGCGCCGCCGCGGAGTAGGATCGCTGTGCGGGGAGGACACCATGAAGTGGCCGCTGTGGATGACCTGTGTCCGGAGCAGCGAGCCGGTGCTTTGCCCCGTTAAGCAACTGGCCCCCGGATCATCAGGCTCCGATTCGGTTTCCGAATCGGGGAGCGGGTGCCGCTCAGTCCGTCCCGGGAACTCCGGTGACAGCCTGCCTGCCATAGTCAGTATGATGGTACCGGTACCGCCAGGATCTGGGGAAGTAGCTGTGGCAGCCGTTGTCAGGTTGGGTCTGAGCTTAACGGGGCAATAGTTCAGTGGCTTTACGAGTGGCTCAAAGAAGCGCGGCGCCCCGCAGGCGCACAGAAATTCCGAATCAGAATCCGAATCAGAGTGACTTCGTTTCGCCCAGGGCATTTACATGTCCGAGGAATTAGTTCTGGTGCATGGTCAGACACAGAAGACGGAGTTAAAATAGGTATAAAACGAAATTGTGCGTGCGTGTGTATATATATTTAATTGTTGTTGGATATATATATTCCGCTATTTTCGCACACTCTTACACGTTTTTTGTCTCTGTTACTGGTCTGTAATTTATGTGCATTATCTTAATATCTGCTCTGTTGTTTTATAGCCTATTTATAGCGGTGCACCATAATTCTTCAGACGTGTGAATGCCTTTGGTGAAATAAACTGATTCTGAAAACGCAAGAAGAAGATTCATAATAATAAAATAACAGAATGTAGATATTCACACATTAAAACATTTGTCACAAAATATTGTTTTATTGTTACAAAGCCAATGAGTTAAGGCTTGGTGGTACTGGAAAAATCAATAGCCAATCTCTCTTCCCTTATTTAAATACAGTTGTTGTCAAAAGTTTACATACACTTATCAATGGCATGTATGTCAAGGCAATATTGCACTTTCAGTGGTTTCTACAACTGTTCTTTTTCTGTGGCATTATAGTTGTACACCGTAAGTCATTATTATATAAAAATGTTTAAAAAAAACAAACTTGGTGCACAAATTTGTAATGTGGGTTAATATTTGGTTAAAACCATCCTTAGCATGTGTCACCTCAACCAGATGCTTTTGGTAGCCATCAGCAAGCGTCTGGTAGAATTCTGATTGGATATCTGACCGATCTTCTTGGCAGAATTAACAGCATGCAACCAAATTTGTTGGTTCTCTGCCACGGACCTGACTTTTAAGCACAGGCTCTCCTCCATAGGGTTGAGGTCAGGACTGTGGGGAGGCCATTCCAAATGCTAATGTTAGCCTTATTTGTTCACTCCGAAACCAGCTTTGATGTGTGTTTAGGGTCATTGTCCTGCTGGAACACCCAGTTAAGTCCAAGTTTCAACCTTCTAGCTGATGCTTAGAGGTTATGGTGAAGAATTCTGAGGTAGTCCTCCTTCTTCATTATTCCATCCACTCTGTGCAGTGCACTAGTTCCACTGGCAGCAAAACAGCTTCAGAATATGATGTTGCCACCACCATGCTTAACAGCTGGTACAGTGTTCTTGGGGTTGAATACTTCACTTTTTCTCCTGCAAACATACCTTTAGTCATTGTGCCCAAACAGCTCAATCTTTGTCTTATATGACCATAAAACTTTTCTCCAGAAGGGTCTGTCTTTGTCCATGTGATCAGCAGCACAATCTTAAGGCGTCCGTTTTACAGCTGGGGTTTCTCTCTTGGACAGCAGCCTCTCCACCCACAGCAATCTCTACACTTGCCTGTGGAAAGTGACACTGGTGTTCCAGCAGTTTCTAGTTGATGGCTGATCCGTTTCTTGGGGCTTCTTCATATTGCAGCTGGCCATCCAGACCGATAAGATGTATGCTGTACAACCATTCTGCCACCAAAAAAGAACATTTATTGAAATCAGTGAAAACTCAATACTGCCATGACATGCACGTCTGTTATGTAGCTGTATGCATCAATACACTTAGGCCTACATAACGGTCTTAATCTTAAACTTCTGGCCACAAATAAAGACATATATACCAAGGGCTTTCTAAAATACCAGTTTCCACTGTATATGTTTAGTTATACCAATTAATATGCAATTTGCATACATTTTACATGCTTTTTACCTGTTCCAAACATGCCTGATATATAGAATCGGAGGTTAAAGCAATAAAAGCACATGGATAACTATACTCGAAATAACTAGGGCTGTGTGTGACCGTTGTGTTTGCTCTCCCTCTTGATCGGCGTCAAGTACAGATTGACGTGACGCCAAAACCAGCCGCTGATTTCTCTTCTTTTTTTGCTGAATTCGAAGAAAAGAACCTCAGACAGGGGGAGTAAAGGAGTCAAAGGACATACGCAAGAGAGGCAGAGGACTACGGAGCCCCTAAGGTGACAAAGGAGCAGGGAAAAAAAACGGCAGAAGAGAAAAAAAAAGAAGTCATGTTTTGCGTTATAACCAAAAATCGTGGCATTATAACCCAAAACTTTTGCGATATAATCCAAAACCTTTGCGTTATAACCCAAAACTTTTGCGTTATAACTCAAAACTTTTGCGACATAAGACAAGAGTGTTGTGACTTGGAACTGGAAATATGAGTAGTCAATGTAAAGAACATAATGGATAGGAAATCGAATAATTAGTAAAATTATTCGAATTTTACTTTGATCTTGGTCTACAATACAGTGGTATGAAAAAGTTTGGGCACCCCTGATCATTTTCATGCTTTTCCTTTATGAATCACTGGTTGTTTGGATCAGCAATTTCAGTTAAATATATCACATAGCAGACAAACACAGTGATATTTGAGAAGTGAAATGAAGTTTATAGGATTTACAGAAAGTGTGCAATAATTATTTTAACAAAATTAGGCAGGTGCATAAATTTGGGCACCCTTGTCATTTCATTGATTTGAATACCTTTAGCAATTATTGGAACACAAAATTATCATGGGTGCCCAAACTTTTTCATACCACTGTATATGAACATTCAGTTTGTTCTCGGATCTAGGCATGATGTTCACATAAATCTGAGGCAGATTAAGAGGATTTTATGTGAAAGGGGATTATTCCAACGGAAAAACTACTCCGACTTGGGTGATGTAATTAACTTTATTTGCGAGCAGCTTTTGCACTCTAGGCAGCTTCATGGCTATCGATGGATGTATGCAAAATGCAGAATAAATGGACTTCATGTGAGAAAAGAGTATGTGCGTTTGATTTATATTAATTATATTAATTTATTATAAACATGAAACAACAACAAAAAACGAACAATTCTTTAGGCTTAAATCAACCTCAACAGATAAGCATTAATTAGCAATGTTACTGAAACTTTACCAAAGCTTGTTGTACAAATTACTAATTATGAATTAAACAATCAAATCTTACCACACTGAACTCTAAAGTTTTTTTTAACCGTTAAATTAGATTAATAAGCGAAGCGGGGATCAACCACATAATGCGAACAGCGGCTTTGGAAGTTGCACTTGAATGACCAACAGTACGCTATAGTCACCTGATTTTATTGTTGCATTGCTACAGAAACGATTTGGGTTATATCGCAAAAGTTTTGGGTTATAACGCAAAGGGTTTGGGTTATAACGCAAAAGTTTTGGGCTATAACGCAAAGATTTTGGGTCATATCGCAAAAGTTTTGGGTTATATACTAACGCAAAACATTGCTTTTTTCTGCTCCTTTGTCACCTTAGGGGCTATATAGAGGACAGCGCCATGACACACCCCTGCAATTTTATTTTATCCGTGCAACTCTACTTGACTCGGATAAAGAGTTAAAACAAGCGGATAGAAAAACAGTGGGCTGCTCCGCGTTTGGCATGCGTGGGTAATTCAGAGGTCACCCCTCTTTGTGAGCTATGCAATATGGGAAATTGAGTCCGAGTAGCAACAGCGTATGCGCAAGCACTACTGTCGAGTTATGCTTATAGTTCTAATAAAGTGCGGTGGACGAACACGTGACTCAGTATTCGTCTTTGAAAATACGCGAGATATAACGGCCCCAACCTCACTCACTACTGAATGAACTGCTAAAGGCTAAATTCCAAATCAAATAATTGTAGTCACGCTGTCCTAGAGACTGATGAGATTCACTATAATTCCCAGGCTACCTCGGTGCATTACTTCCGGTCTATTGCTACTGGGAAGGTTAAAGGTCGCGAACTAGAAAGCCAGCGTCTTAAATTTCAGGAAAAGGCGAAATTGGTGTTTATTTTTTACAGCTACTTTGTACATCGATAAAGTCATGGATGCTCTGCACAGACATCGCTCTTTGTACAAGGGAACCACGCCGCCATGGAAGGAGACCTACAGAAAGGTAAATAGTCGCGCGTCATTGTTGTTTTTTTGCAAGCCTTGTCTTGTGCGACTTTCAAGACCTAATTTATTTCACATTCGCAGTTGTCTAATCTATGTTTATATGTATTTGAAGTGCGTTCCAAATTAGGCTTGTTTGATCAGATAACTAAGTTCTCCTGCATGTTGTTACTATCCGAGTTGTTTTATAGTATCGAGTGCGACTTTTTTACTACACTGTGGTCTACTTGCATCTTTCTCCCCTTGCGCATATTTATTAACATTTATTGTTTACTCTTTTTTTATGTAGCACTTGTTTGTCCTTATTACACTACTGTTTGTCTCGCTTTGTATTGCATTACTGTTTGTCCTGGCCTCCGATGCACCTGTACCCTACCTACCCCTCATTAGTGCCAGAAAAATGTCGACCCAACCCGCGTAAATTAAGATTGAAACTTGAAACCTTCTCCTTCTACCAGCGATGCGTGGAGAGATTAAAAAACAGCAGATCGAGATTACTGGAGAAGTACAGACAGATGGGGGAGAGCCTGAAGACAGGGAGCGGATGTGTCCTGGTCCAGGAGGTGATGGAGGAGGAGTGGAGTGCCCTGCAGGTGGCCAATCAGAGGCTGCCCTCGCTGCGCGGTAAAGGCTGCATCCGAGACGTGCGTTTGCCTCCATTCTGCCGCCCTCATTAATAATGCAATTAATATGCATTGCTATAGGAATGCAATAATACAGAGCTGCACCATGGCAAATGTTTCTGCTTATCCCACAGATGTACAGCATTTTGCAGGAGAGTGATGAGCTGGCCGTGTTAGAGGAGATCCAGCAGGAGCTTATGTCACAAGGTATCATTTGTTTATTTTTATTTTTTTTTTGGGGGGGGGGGAAGAGTCTTGTGCTCAAGTTGTTCTGTTTGACAGTACCACTGTTCGTCTTTTGGTTTTAGCATGTTGGTTGCTTGTGTAACTCTACCTGTACTTTGATATTTCTCGTTACTCGTACCTCGTTATGGCCCTTCTGATAAGGCAGTATGTACACCCTGTGTCCCGATTTGAGCCAAAAGTGCATGTTTATCTTAAGCATTTGTAAAAGTGTCACATTTTCTGGTTGCAGAATTGTCAATTATAGAGGAGTATGAGAAGAGCTTGCAGTATGAAGAGTGCTACTTGAGCTCCGTGGTGGAGGGGCTGGATGAGGAAAAGCGAGTCATATGCCCTGTCTGCCGTGTGTGAGTAGGATCTGTGCACCTGCATGGGTAATGTGAATCGTGGGCGTAAAGCTCGAGATTCTTATAGGATGAGACTGAAGTCTGTGTGCTTTACACCATGTGACTGATACATGCTTGTTTCAGGAACCACCTCACCATAAACACTCATTTCATCTTCTGTGAATGTGGAGTGCACATCGACACAAGGGTATGTCACCTTTCCATTGTAATCTGTTACATGCGAGAGAATCTCAGGCTCGTTTGGACGCATCTTTCTTTCCTTTCCAGCAGGGGAGTGTCACGCCTGAGCAGCTGCAGTCCCTGCTGGAGAGCAGAGTCTCGGAGCACATGGAGCAGTGCCCTCATAATCCCGCCTTCTCTCTGGCCAGCAGTGTGGAAGGCTGTGCCAGTCTACTGATGAGCTGTCCTGTAAGTCTGGGCCTGCAGTCTGTCACTCGTTTGAGGGAGAAACAACTTCACACATCCAGTTTTGTGATTAGTACCGCATGAGGGCAAGGTGGCAGCAAATTGATCTTATTCTCTCTCCACAGGCCTGTGACTACATGTCCATTGTTCTCTAAATTCCTGGATATTTCATTAAGAGGGCTATTTTAATTGAGTGCAATAAATTTTTTTAATTTTACTCTTTGTGCCTTTAAACATCCTTAATTACCCTCCATCCCCCCTGCATTTGCAGAAGTATCAACTTTGTCACAAAATGCATCATCTTTATTGAACAAGGTTCTCGCAGGAAGCCAGTAGCTGAACACGTTTCAACAAAGTTAACAATGCACCCTGCAGCCAATTATCTGGAACCATTTCTTAAATATTGGGCCACCCATTTATGGTAATTCACACTTCAATGCCCCCCAAGACCTTACCATTAAACATCTGAACAACTTAACCGAAATGTAAGTATCGGCACATTCTGTCACAGGATTTTTTTTTAATTAGTACATGGTCATCAACAGGGAGACTGTAGTAAGCTCTGGACCAGCAGCCTATAGCTTACTAGCACTTGATGAAGCTTTTCAGATCTTCCAGAAACTTGATGTATTCCTGGTGCTCCAGCGCAGTGCTCAGCTCCATGAGCTCCTCAGCAAAAGTGTTATCCACCCGCCGCTCAGCCAGGAAGTCCATCAGGTGGTCATACAGGGCCTACACAGACAGACGGGCGGTCATACAGGGCCTACACAGACACAGTCTGCTGCTTATCTTTTTGTTTACAAAGCAAGTAGGAAATGATTTGTCATCTTTGGGGCTCCAGGTCCACATACCCAGTCCAGGGAATCTGTGTTAAGGGTATAGCTGGTCTCCTTCCAATCATCATCTCCAGCTGGCTGGAAGCTGACTTCCCGGATGGCAAAGGTGTCACCCTCCTCCTCTTCTTCCCCACGTCCCGTCTAAAAAAAAAAAAAGAGTCCTTTCCTTTGTCTCAAGTCTGCTTAGTGATTTTTAAAGTCCAGTCAAATGCAGCAATTTCATTTGTTTGGTGTACACAGGATCTATGGAAGTGGCATGTTTTTTTATTATTATAAAATTAGCATTTCTGTATTTTATTCCCTGTAATAGGGGTTAAAGCCTGAGAAATGAGATTTAATTGAATTCCATTCGGTTTACTTCGCAAAAAATCCCAATACATGCAGGTGTACCTGACCAGCAAAGGGAATTTGGATTCTGAACAGAACTAGGAAGTGCTAGGGGGCACCATCCTAAATGAACAATAGACTAACCAATTTGAACCTGAACACAGCAACTAACAGACCCCTTGGGATGTACTGTATGCATCAAGTGTCATCACTGGGATCTAGAAATAATACTGACAACTGTCAATCCCTATTTCCTCTCCAGAAGGATCCAATACAAACTGAAGATAACAGCAAGTAGTACCACTGGCTACATAGCCCATCACTTGGCAATTAAAATAAAACTATATGGGTGCAACTGCTCTTCAGAGCACAGAGCTTTGTGTGCATCCAAATCTGCACAACACACTGTCAAAATCAATGATTAATATCTTACCTCATCTTCAGGATAATGACAGTCAAATACCAATGAATGCTTTGCACCTTGTTTCGTTACTTCAACCACAAAGTTGGGTGTTGAGACGATTTCTGGCTGTAAAAAAAAAATTCTCTTTAAGGCATAAATAGGGAAAATCAGCAAAATCATTCTTAATAGAAGGCAGGACCAGGTCAAATGTACATCAGAAGCAGCTCACCTCATTCTCAGATGGTTTCTGTCCTTCCTCTGGTTCTTCCTCAAAGTTAGGTGGGATACTGTTGTTCACATTGAACGTGACAGTCACCCTACAGGGTTAAATAAGGATGGTTAGTTTTGAAGCAAGCCAAAAAAATATTACGTCACAACAACTAGACTGGATTAAGTTTGATTTTATACCAAGAGATTCAACATGTGTAATTAATAAACATAAAACAGATTACGTTTCTCCATCTGCTTTCTTAATTAGCTTTGCTTCCGTGCCGTTCAGTTCCACCTCCCAGCCTCCAGACATCGTAGGAAGCGATTTGCTTTTTTGGATCTTCTTCTCCTCTTTTATCTCATCCGATAGGAACTCCGCAAAAGCTTTGTCTCCTAATAGTAGGGAAACGAGCCCAAGAGTCTATTAGAGCTTTAGAAATCTGTACCGTTACATAAACTACTTCTACACAACAGTCAATTGTCAATCACCTTCATGCAGTGTTTCTCAACCCAGTCCTCGGGGAACCCCAGCCAGTCCACGTTTTTGCTTCCTCTCAGCTCCCAGCGCACCTGTACCAGCTATTCGATGTTCCTGATTGGCTGGGAGCTGGGAGGGAGCAAAAACGTTGACTGTCTGGGGTTCCCCGAGGACTGGGTTGAGAAACACTGCCTTCATGGATCATTTTAGAATTTACACGACTTAATGTAAGGTCTGATAATAATTTAAAAAAAATCAGAAATACAGCCAGTGATTAATACATGCCACAATAAATCCTAAAAATGATCAAAAGGCTATTTTATTTCCCTTCAAAGCTAAACTTACATACTAATACCCGTGACTTGCCTTCCGTGTGGAGTCCTCCACAGCCACACGAAGCAGGCTGGATGTGCTGGTTTGAATTGAGAAAGCCGGGCCTGTGTCCTCCTCCGTTTTTGCTCATCATCCACAGAGAGCGAGTAAAAGGTCGGACTGTCGCTAATTTCGTGAGATTTAACTCCGACCGGCCAGCTGGCTCCAGCACGCGGGAGGCCGAGGAGGTGGCGAGACGGACCCCGCCGCTTACGATCCGCGCCAGGGACTTCAGCATGACTGCAGAAAGCGAACGATCGGATGCACCGAACAACGTGTTAAAGGACGCGCTGACTTCTTCGGTCACGTGACCTTCGACCTATAAACCGGTATTTGTGTTACTAGTGCGCGTTTAAATGTGTACCGTACAAACACCGATGCCAAAAATGAAGGTTCCGGTCCAAAGCGACGAAACAAGCATTTATTTATTCTTAAGTCAGTCGGATCCTCAGTGCTTTCAAAATCTGTTTCTTTCAATGTCAGAGCCACGACACCAGGAAATATATTTGTGATTTAAGCAAAATAAAATAGTATTTTCTTGGATTTAACATTTTATTGTTGTTATCTAGGCTGCATGGTTAAATGAACCCGTAACTTACCGCCATATTCAGCAAAATTCTCCACAATTATAGTTTTACTTAAAAAAAGAAATTTAATACCTTATAATGTGCTGGGAAAATGTTACAGATTTAGTCTGACAGATAACAATATGAGATGCGTTCATCTTTTTAGCCTGATATTCGCATTATTTAATACTTACAGAGTAAAGAGCAATTGCAAACTAGCGACCGGTTTAGCTGGATAATCGCAGAAGAAAATTATTAATTACTAATTACAAACCAGCAGATTTAATGAGACTACCAGATGTACCATATCTATACATATACGCCATATCGTCGGCTAACTAAGAAAACCTCGCATCTGCAAAATCATTGTTTTACTGGAGATACAAAAAAACGATTTTCCCGTTACAAAGAAGTTAGATTCGTATCGATAACAATAAGTAGTACAACACCAATGTCACTTACGAGGTTTTCAGCGGCAGTGAATATGACAAAATGGTATGTACAAGGTATTCATCTAAATTGCCTATATATTATACTATTAGATGTAATTGTGAAGGTAGGAATAGATTAGCACTCATTTTCATCAGAATCAGAATCTTTTTACTCGCCAAGTACAGAGAAGTACAAGGAATTTCTTGACCAAACCACACATCACAAACTGTGCCCTTTGAATACTCACCAGACATTACAAATTAAAAATTGCCATCTAATTTTCTAGCGACTCTCACCCAAACTTCATTGAGAACACAAAAACATGGAAAAAAATATTCATAAATGGAACACTCCACATAGCACTTGTAGTAATTTATCACTTCATAATAACACTAAAATTAATTACGACTAATGCACAACATTAAGTGGTTTTTTATTGCAATAATCGCACCTTGTACATGCATGCAGTGCCATAGGCTACTGAGTGACGTAACAGAATTTGCACAATTTTTAAAGTTCATGTTCACCCCAGGGGGTTCTCTGTGACCAATAACATTATAGAAACAGTGCATTGCTTGTCTTCACCAGTAGTGCATACAATGTGAGACAGGAGGTTGGGGCGGAGCAGTGATTAGCGCTGGTCCTTGGTTCGGTCCTCAGGTCGGGCGTAGGAGCTCGCATGGGGGATCCGGTAGGTTGTTTGACGACTCAAAGTTGGCCCCGTAATGGTGTGTTGGTTCCTGCCTGTACTAGTTGTTTTCAGAATAAGCGCCGGTCCCCCACGCGACTATCGGCTAGTCATTTAATATTGTTCTCCTATCGTGTTGTGCACCAAAACCTAAACTAAAATTGCAGATAGGTTTTCTTAGTTAGCCGATGCTATACTAAAAATCTGTGTATAAAAACCAAAGACACACACGACGGACTTTGATCTCAAGGGGAAAAGCTTTTTTTTTTTATTACAAACATTTACATTACTTGTATTATATAAAGTTTCTCATTCATTGGTCAGACAACTGCCCTGCGATGCTGAAAATATAAACCTCATTCAGTGTGCTCTATTGCATTTTACCCAGGCTAAGCCAGACTAAGCAATTTCCTTTCCACACACACAAAATCATTAAGTAGCTGAGCATACTGAGGTCACAGACTCTCTGCTCTAACCAAGACGTCCACTTATTGCACACAAGATCCTTAATATTTTACTGAATAATATAACATATTCAGTAAGGGGAGTTTCCTACAACATTCGAATACCTCAGGACTTACTAGAGTTAAAATTTAGTAAACATTTTAATTCCTCTTGATGCTGTGTAAATTTGGTTGGGTCTAATAAGTAAAAATATTTTTTTTCAGATTGCACAGATTCTGTTTACTATGAAATAATCTAGGGGTCTACATATTTCATAATCCATCTTTGAGATTAATTATTCGAAGTCCAATTCGCTTTTACCTAAAATTCAGTAAAATAAAATCTAATTTTTAATAAAACTTTGACATTTGTAATAAAATCCAGCAGCTCTCTCATTGACCTTCTGCAGGACCGTCACTGTGTAGTAAAATCATCCATTTCCATGCATGGCAGGCACACACCTACAGGCACGTTAGCTAATGCTAAGACAGTGTTGCTAAGCAGCATTCGGACACCGCAGTAAATCATCGTAGCGGATTGAGAGGTAATTTGCGGTGTCATATTTGAGTACCATACATATTGTCACATCTTTGCTAGCACATGTGCTAGTGCTGAACTATAAAGGTGTGAGAGAAACATGCATCTGGCATCCAAAGCGAAAGTCGAACTCTGGACGTTTTACGAAGGCTAAACACGCAGGTTAAGGCAGCCTGAGACAGACAAGACTCGTGAGTAACTGGCTCTCTGACTAGCTAATTACTGACAGGGTTGCAAGACAGTTTTTACCTCATTGCATTGTAGTTCAATTTCCTTGCAGTTTTCACAATTTTCAAACTAAATAAAAAAGACAAGCAATATTTGGTTAGAATTAAAAACAAGTTGACACAAAGGCCGATGGGACTGGTTGTTCTATTTGTCAGAAATGTATACGGTGGCTGGATACATCCGAGTGTGGTCTTTACATGCTTATTTCAAAGATATGAAGATAAAAAATGATCCCAAAAGCCTGAACAGTAGCTGACAGCTGGTAGTTGACCAGTAAGTTAGAAAAAAAGCCAAAACACTGGGATTGAGAAGGGAGGACAGCCTTGGGCAGCAGAGAGAACACCACGAATGACTGTCCCAGGCCGGGCCAAACAGGCAGCTCGGACAAGAAGTATGCTAAGAGTGCTGCATATACTAATCCCGCTACGAGTCAGAGGCATGCAGAAGTCACTAATGGTAAGCAGCAGAAGAAAGCACCCAATATCCCTGGGCTCCTTACGATAGCCCAACTCCTCTTCACAGCACTGCAGTGGTGCCGTAAATGTTTTCGATGGAAATGGGTGGACTAATTTGTTTCTTTTAACTGGACCCAATTTGTATCTGTCTAATTCTGAAACTTAGACTGGATGCGAGACGGTCATTCATCATCTACAAGGACAGTTGACGATCATGTTGCTGGTGAATCCTAAACGGTGGTTGTGCCAAGTAAGCATCTGTATATTAGCGTCCCACTGTAGAGGTACCAAGCTACAAGTAAGTCTTTGGAGCACAGGAAAAGGTCACTGGTGTCACCATGCTTTCCGGCTCTGAGGTTTCCACTTCATAGAGGGGAGGGAATTGTGGACCTAGCGGTGGGGGGCTAGCTCTTGGCGGCCCGCAATTTGCGGCGGAAGTACTCGGGCGCGGCATCATGGAGCCAGTCGGCATCCACCAGGCAGAGGTCCCTCATGTAGCACTTGGAGGTATGGAGCAGCTCGTTGAAGATCACGTACGCCGGCTTGGCCTGGAAGAGCACCGAGGATGGGTGTATGGCCACCGGCTGGTGCGTGTCCAGCGCCACATAGCTGCCGTCGGGCTGGAGCTCAGCCGCGTTGGTGAACAGCCCATGGGCCAGGCAGCGGCGCACGTTACCCATGTCAGTGCGTGAAGACTGCAGCGTCATCCCCAGCTAAGTGACAAGGGTGGGAAGAACGGGTTAGACCTCTGGGCTGGCAGGAAGCTCACATGCCAACATCACCCTAGGTCTCCAACTCCGTTCCTGGAGAGCTACCGTCCAGTAGGTTTTCTATCCTACCCGACTTCTGATGAGCCAGGAACAGATGTGGCTCATCAGAAGCCAGATAGAATGGAAAACCTGCTGAATAGTAGCGCTCCAGGACCAGAATTGGAGACCCTTGCTCTAGAAACTCAAAAGCGCACGTCTCCCTACCTTGAGGCAGATCTCCCTGAGCTGGGCTCGAACCTCAGACACCAAGGCCATGTTTCTGCTGTTGACAAAATTCTCCCGACACCATTCCTTCAATGAGAAGTGAGGGAAGGCATAAGATGACTTGTTAAAGCATTCGAGGCAGGCGCTTTTTAAAAATCTGGGCCTCGATAAATATATTAAATCTTCACCTTATTCCCACCCACATTCTTGAAGGCCCGGTAGATATTGAGTAGGGTCATGTGATCACCCTCGCTAGAGATGAACTTCCTGCGCACGGTGTGAACTTCCTCCCGCCGAGCGGGTGGGTTATAAAGTACGCTGTCCACAGACAGGAGAGACACGATGGTCAACACCTCCTCAGTGCAGGAGAAGTCTGGGGACAGGAGGATGGTCTGCAGGAGGTCACATGGAGAGGTGGTCAGTGTTTACTGACAACACAGCCCAGGATTCAGAGGAAGAAACGGCACTGCTCTCACCTTGGCATAGCTCGGCTCCAAGGGAAAGCTGGCCATCTTCTTCCCCAAGGGAGTGAGACTGATATGTTCATCCTTGCGGTCCACAGCTCCCAGCAGATCCAGCTGCTCAACAGCTGTGTAAATAGCCTCTGCAAAATGGAAGTTATTGAGTGTGGTCAGCCAGTAAGATCCACGCAGCTCAATGTCTCAAACAGCACCTGCTGATCCTGGGAATCCTTGATAGGTTAGTTTACAGCAGGTGGGATCTCTGGAGCCAGAGCGCTGCAGAAAGTGCAGCTTTTCTGCTACACATCAGCAGCTAATCTATTCTGTAAAACCTTCAAACCCCCCTAATCTGGGAACCAGTCCAACCCTACACATGTATGTATGATTAAAATTAGGTATAGCCAATGTTAGAAATGACAGCAGTCATCAGTGAGAACTTTCAATTGAAGGAGAAGATAGAACCAGGGGAAGAGTAAAATAAAATCTACCTGATGATGGTTTAGACATGAAATCAAAATTTAGGACATCAGGAACCTGCAGAGCCAGCAGCTGTAGTAGGACACTAGCCAGGTTACACCTACAGATGATGAAGAATGATGAAGTTAACCACTCCTCATTTTTAAAAACTCTTCTAAGTGCCCTTAACCTTCCTCAGAAAATATATAATCTCATTCCTACAATTTTACAGCCCTGAATTGAAAGACAAAATACTTGAATAAGTATTTCATATGCAGGTTTCAGACCCAGAACAGTTCAGGACGCTTCCTGACCCATATATATTTAAAAATATTTTCTGGGAACATCTCGGCAGTCTCACCTTTGGATCTCCGGCACAGTCATGTTGATAAAGTTTTCAAATTCGTCCTCTGTGTAGAGACGGTAGCAGAGCCCGCTCTCCTCCCGGCCTGCCCTCCCGGTCCGCTGCCATGCCTGGGCCTTCGACACCCTCTGCACAGCCAGAACCTCCAGCCCACTGTCTGGGTCCAGGGATGAAACACCACCATTAAGCTCCAGACAACTTCAGAGTTCTAGTATCTAACTCATGGTGTCGTTTCTTTTCTGGGTGGGTGCGCATCGGGAAGGTTAAGAGATATGTTGCCTGCAGTGTTTAACCCCTGACAGGGTCACCCATGCAGTGGGATCTTAGGAGAGATGCAACACAAAACCTACCATCTGGTAGTGGCAATAGAGCGCTATGGATGATCACAGTGGTGAGAACAGCAAAGGCTCTACACCGATGAGCCAAACCATCTTAGCCTAATCATCAGAACACAATGGAGCTTTTATTAATCACACAGGCCTTCAGTCCTGCCCATTTCTTCTGCATTCAACAAAACTACAAATCTAATACATCCCAGACCTCGACGTGTTGTTTTTACAAGATAGTCAACATAATTCGCTTGACATGGGAGTGGTCATAATATTTTAAAGTATAGGAAACTGATATGAGATGCTGGAGCCCTTCGATGGAGAAGCAGAGGAGCTTTGGATGAAATCCATATAATTAATTCAAGAGGAACCTGAAGAAAGAATGATCTAAGGGAAACAGCCAAAGTAATGGCTATCGAGTGGTTATAAAGATGAAGACAAGCAACCAAGAAAATAAGCCATGGCACAAAGCAGATCAAGAGATGGATGCAAAAGACCTCTATACAAATACAAAGCGTTAGGTCAACAACAATGACATATTAAATAACATCGGACATTTGAAAAATCAGCAGCCAAGGTCAGCCAGTGTCCCTGGAGCAACTGGAGTTAAGGGCCTTGCTCAAGGGTCCAACAGTGACATCACTCTTCCATCTTTGGGATGTGAACAAGTGATCACAGGTACACAGTCCTAACCTGCAGGGCAACAGCCTACCCCACACTGTACCAGTGCAGTTTTATCCTTATGAAGAATCACTCTGTTCAACAAGAAGCCATATTCAGGAGAGACTGGCACCAAACTGGTAATGGGGTTAGAGGAGCCTAGATGCTATCATCATACCTATGAAACCAAATGTATAATAAGAGAAGCTGGACCAAATGAAAACAACTGCAGTGGCTGAAGAAACATAAATAACCCTCTATATGCTGATTACACCACATTTATAGTGGAAAATGAAGACACAAGTATGAGGTAACAACAGTGTGAAATGATGGGTCTGGAGCAGGGCTGTCCAATCTTATCCAGAAAGGGCTTTTCACTGCAACTCCCTAATTAGTAGTGATGGACATGACACTTCATAAACCACTTGCTATATTGTTTAACCCCACTAGATGGTGCTCTTTGTTCAAAAAAGGGCATAAAGTATGCCTCAACGCAAACCAACAGCACCATCTAGTGGGGGTCAAAAAATACAGCAAATGGCTCATCAAGTGTGATTTTGTCCATCGCTACTAATTACTAATTAGAGGACTGATTGGCTGAAGAGTCCTCACACCAGGCTTTGAACAACTGACCGAAAGGTTATCCTAAAAATCTGCATATACTATTATTTAGATTTATTCCATCTTTCTACAATTTCATTGACCTGTACGTTAGGTGCTTCTGTTTTTGGGTTTTATTTTAATCTCATTCATGAAGTACCCTGAGCTGCATTCCGTGTATGAAAAGTGCTACATACCGTACATACCGTAGCCTTCACATCCAAATGAATTTATTCACATAAAAGCTAGAAACAACCCATATAAACATAAATTAAAGTAAATATATATATCTAAGGAAAAATAAACAAACATAATCATATAATCATTAACATAACAAAGGCAAACGGTGATTCCCCAGAAGGATGCAGGTTTTAAGACAGTTCCTCAGGAGTGCTCCCCATTAGAGCAGACGTGAGAATATTATTATTATTAATAATAATAATGTCTACGTACTGGACCTTTGCAGATCAGATTGGCCAAGCCTGGTCTATGGGTTAAATATGAAGGAAAAGAAGACCACAGAAGAGTGCAGATACCTTTGAGCTTTGGTGTTGGGAAAAGACTTCAAGAAAACAAGTAAATTCTTGGTCAAATCAAGCCTGAAGTTTCACTTCATAAATGACCACAATGATGCAGTCTTCTTTTGGGCACATTATGAGTGGGGACATTGTAAAACCAGTATGCTTGGTTAGTTAGTTATGTTGACTTAACGCCATGCAAGCAGCTAGAGTGTATAGATAGGCCAGTATGGTTGGAAAAAAGGTAAAAGAAAAAGAAGAGAATGACCAGCTACAAGATGGATGGACTCAATTATCACAACAATGAGCATGCCTGAAGACCTGGTGGAATGGCATCTGTGTAGTCATGAGGAGTCAACAGCTTGATTATAATAATACTACAAAAGACAATTACTGTATTTTTAAAAGATACTGTACCCATGTAAGACTAACAGAACTTTCATATCATGCTGTTCATTAATCAGTGTAAATGCGATCACCATTCCCTTGTGTGTTGAAGTAGAAGGGGTCTCACCTGGATTGTACTTCTTCGCTTTCACCATTCCCGTGTCAATCACATACTTGATGCCAGGGATGGTGATGGACGTTTCTGCAATGTTGGTGGAGAGGACAACTTTCCTAGTTCCCTTTAAGAGAATGAAATGTGAGAAAAGATTAATTAACAGCTGTAAAACATCTGATTTTCAACACAGATCCAAATGTATATTTGAACGACACAATTTCTTTATCTCAGGAATTCAGCAAGAGCTGTGTGTCTGCCATGTGATCAGCAGCTGGATCCTTCCAGTGCGGCCAGGGCGGCGGTACCTTGGGGGCAGCCTGGAAGACCCTCAGCTGCTGAGCAGGAGGCAGGGAAGCGTACAGGGGGATGACCATCATGGGGCAGCAGGTTTCTGGCAGATGTTTGGAAATGTCCCTGCAGGTGCGTGCCAGTGCTTCGATCTCCTCCTGGCCAGTCAAGAAGACCAGGATGTCTTGAGATGGCGATGCCTCCTTTAGGAAAGGGGGGGGGGGTGCACACAGAGGTCAGTCCCTGATCTCCCCAGCAAGATGAACACATTAACTCCAGTTAATGTCAATGGGCTTCACTGCACCATCCTACCCAGTACCCATAAGTCAAAGGAGCCGACCATCACTGAACAAACCTGAATGTCTTACTGCCATGTTCCAGCAATACGGACATAGTCAAGAGTGGGTATGTTGTTTCTGGGGCTCCACTCAATAATCCACTTTGCCCGCCCCCCACCCCCCTGCCCTCAAATGTTTCAAAAACTAAATAGCTAATGTGGCTTGAGTGGTGGTAAACACTGGGCATGCTCCAAATGATTTTAGCCCAAGCCGTTAAATAAATCTAGAACTGAGGTTGAAGCTGGCCACCTGATGGATCTGAAAGATAGACACCAGGGCGGCCTGGAGGTAGTCCGACTGCGGCTGCTTGGTGTTGAAGATCTGGATGGGGTGCTGCCGGCCCTCCAGGTACAGCACAGGTGCCTTGTTGAAGTATTGCGAGAAGAGGTCCACATCCATGGTGGCTGACATCACGATCACCTGCCAACAAACAGCCAATGAAACAGCAGGTGCTGGTTAAGTGGATACAGACTAAGTGTGATGCGTAAGATGCTGTCAGTTTCAGTTACCAGGGTTTACTGTTGAACCTCAGAACAATATACTTCAACTGCTATTTTAGCACAAGGTCAGCACAAGTTATTAAGGGTCACACTGATACAAAACATGTTCTACTTAGTGCCCGATTCATACCTGGTGATGTTAATTACTAATTCTATAGAAGAGGCAATTGAGATCTGGGGATGAAGCACCCGCACATAACTCAAAATAAAGGTATCTCAGGAGGAATCTGCTTGTTCATTGGATTAATGGCAATGAGTCACGCAATCCAATCACGCGTTGGCGACCTCACCTTCATGGGGAACTTGCTCTGCTCGCGGCGCTTGCGCTGTGCCGACTTCACCACGCCAAACAGCACATCTGTGTGCACCGTCCTCTCGTGGGCCTCGTCCAGCACCACCACTGAATAACGGAGCAGCAATGGGTCCCCGATGGCCTCACGCAGCAGCATCCCGTCGGTCATGAACTTCAGCTTGGTCTCCGACGAGGTCATGTCCTCGAACCGCACCGTGTAACCCACCTGGGGGGGTGACCCAGCTGAGTCAGTTTGGCCATGCAAAGACACTCCGAAGCAGCCCAGGCTTCCAAGCCAACTGACATGAAGTTACACCCATATACCGGTGACTAAGGATATTATGCTTAACGACAAGAATTCAGATGTATAAATAAGAAGCCAAGCAGGATAAAGAAACTGCAAACTCCCGTAGGATAAGATCACCAAACACTTCCGTCCACCAACGTACAAGTTTCCCCAGCTGAGTCTTCTTCTCCTCGGCCACCCTCCCGGCCAACGAGATCGCCGCCACTCGGCGAGGTTGAGTAATTGCGATGATGCCCTGGCGGCCGATTCCCGCTTCATAGAGATACTGTGGAATCTGAGTAGTTTTCCCAGAGCCAGTCTCACCTGAGCAGTGACATCACGGTAACATTAAGTAAAGTGAACATAAAGCATCACAGCGATTAACACGTCCCGAACACTTCACGGACACATTGGACAAGACATACAGTGCAATGGGCAATGTGAAAGGCACCTACACAACGAAGTATAATCCAATACTTTTAATACTTTAAACTATGTGGAAATAAACTTAAAATTGTAATCAAATCTGTGGACACACTGTACCTGTGCAAAAATATATTTGTGAAATTGATGACGACCGTCCATTTACTTTGTTTCGTAATTTCTTCCGTTTAAAATACCTCCCCGTTAGTTCCCAACGAACAATTTTATGACAAAATACGTAAACTAAAATCAGACTAAAAATTAAAATTGAACAGAATCACAAAAACAACATGCCCAACTGATTGCTAGTGATAGACAGTAATAAAAAACAATAACAATAAACTAAAAGTGCAAAGAATGTCAGGTAAAGTGCTGCACATAATTCCATAGTATAAAACTATGAAACAGTGAGTTGTAGTTATAAATCGTATTGCACGGTGAGTTTGCGTGTAATAAAACTGCACCGCACGTAGGGTTGTACAGTGAAGGAATGAATGCTCTGTGTAAGTGCGGTGTGCCTTAGCACTGCTTACCGATTAAAACGGCGCCGTCCAGCTGGCGGAGCCGGTTGATGAGCTGTGACTTCGCCTGATAAATAGGAAGATGTTTACGCTGGACATCTACGGGCACTGATGCGTTTTCCTTCCTGGGCAGCAGCATGCCAGGCTTCTTATTGAGACGGAAAAACGGGGACCCCGGCTTAAACCTTTTCGCCGGAGGAGGATCGGGGTCGTGGGGCATGATCCGGAAGAAAATTTGACACGAATCCCCCAGCTAATCTGACTCCTGAACCGAATACTTAAGAAGCAACTATCAAAAATATTCTTGTTACGGAGTAGTGATGGCAAGCAAGAACACTGCAGTTCCCCTAACCCACGTGGTACTGCAGGCGTTCTGTCGCGGGAGTTTTGCGTCATCATGCACCGCACGATATCCGACACTGCCAGCGTATGAATAGCTGTAATTAGTAGTGATATACGGTATGAGCAGTGAACAGAACAGGATGTGAAAATATATGATGCACCTCTTATAATTAATTATTTTAGTTTTAATGCCATAATAAATCAAGCAAAAATTAGATGGAATAATAAAACGTAACACTAGGGGGGGCAGAAGTTACAGTTAGCAGTGCTATTCAACCCAACGAACTTGTATAGCAGTGTGATAAAATGAAGCTTTATTTGTCATTTGTACAAGGATGAGTACAGCCAGGTACATTAGAATATGTTTTGTCACATATCCCATCTTACTCTTCTTTGAGACACACACATACACGTGAGAGCGAAGCTTGGGGTCTAAGCATAGGGTCAGCCGTCCATTCAGCAGTCATAGAGCATTTCTGGGGGAGTTATGGACCTTGCTCTAGGACCCAGTGGAAATGGGGCTACTCAAACGAGCACGGGATTCAAACCAGTGGCCTTTCGTTCGCAGGCACAGAGGCCTAACCCCTGTTCACACGCTACCCCCCAACCCAGGCAAAGTGTGGTTACAGTGCTGCAAGATCATGCTACAAGCTCATGCTGTAAGCTCGTTTTATAGCCTCATGCTATACTCTCATGCTATAAGCTATGCTCTCATCTGTGTACCAGTCAGGAACTGTACAGCTCATGTTATACTCTCATGCTATACTCTCATGCTGTAATCTCATGCTGCAAGCTACCCTCTTACCTGTGTGCCTGTGAACTAAAAATAAAGAATCAAATAGAATCCTTTCTAAAATGGGATAAGAGTGCAACGTCTGTAGCATAAATACTGGACCTCTATTAGCTTGTCATATAAATGAAAAGCGTGGATGAGTTGAAGGGTAGAATGGTGGACATTGCTTTATGCATTGGGGGTCAATTCATTTCAATTCAATTAACTGTTTGCAGTGCCTGTCACAACACAGTCATCCCAAGGCACATGACTAAGGATACATTTTTACAGAAACATTAAAAAACAAGGAAAAAGGAAGCCAAAAAGAAATAGCGAAAGATGCTTGCTAAACACAACATGTAGACTGTAGTCAAGGTCAAAGCCCAAGTCCATCACTGAGTCAGTTGTCCATGCTGCACCCACGATGATACAGTCCTTAAGTCACATCCACGATGTTCCATGAGACTGGAGCAGGACTCCAGCTCAGATGGTGCCCACCCCAGGCACCATCCGGACATGTGGGAAGGAAGACAGAGAATATAGGGGGTCATAACATGCATGGACACATTGATGAACAAGCATAGTAGGACAAAATGGCACGTACAGCAGCACCAGCAGCCACAGTTATAGTGTGTCATGTGTTAAGTTGCGGGTAAGCTAAACTGAAGTAACAGAGTTGAAGACTGAGACTTATTCAGCATGATGAACATTACAGAGCTGCCAACCCTCACTCATCTGGCGTGACACTCACGCTTTCAGACTCTCACGCTGACGCAAGTAAATCTATATTATTCCATTATAAACTGGAAATTAGCTACAACAAAAGCATTGTGGCAGTTTGTAAACCCTACAGACTATTTACAAGGTAATAAAACAGTTACATACATGTAAATTCGTGTGCAGACTTGTCTCAAACTGAAAATCTCACTCCAACCAGCTGACCAAAGTTCGTGGCCCTAACATGAGCTGGCAAAGCTATTCCACAATAAGGGGCCGTGGGGCAGAAGGCTTTACTGCTAACTGTTACTTTATTCTTATGTGGAACGACAAGGAAACCTGTGTTCTGTGATCTGAGTGGACGATGCGGCTGGTAAACTTGAAGTAATTATTAGGTGGGCAGGTGCTAAACTTCTGAGTGACTAATATGTATGTTGTAAATTGTTGAAGTGTGAACCTAACAGGAAGCCAGTGCAGGGAACTAAGAGCAGGGGTTATGTGTTCAAATTTCTTGCTCCTGATGAGAATTTGAGCTGCAGAATTTGCCGAGCACGGGATTCAAGTCAGTCACCTTCCGATCACAGACCTGCTGATTTTAGTTTGTGGTTTCCACTCGAATTTTTATGAAATTGTTCACTGCATGTGCTCTGTGACATCATCCTGTCCAGGGTGGAAATTTGCCTTGTGCCAGGTGCATTCTGGGTAGGCTCCTACCTCACCTTAACCTTGTACTGGAAAAATAATTTTTCATCTCCATTCTGATGATTTACTCCTGTTTTATGCAGATGATCTGGTCTTACTGTTACTCCAGAAAGTCCAGCAGTCCAACTGGCAATGAATCATTATCCCAGGAAAATAGAATTTACTTCATGGTTGGTATCATTGCAATAAAATATACAGTAATGACTTTCTAGCATAAAAACTGGTTTGCAAGGGAACTAACACTTTACTTGAGGTCATGTTTTTAATAATTTATAAGTACATTCGTAATGCATTATAATGCATTCATAAAGCATTATAAACATGGCTATAAATATTTATAAAAAGGCATAACACATTATAGCATGTTTATTATGCATTATGACTGCCTTATGAAGCTCTCATCTATAATACAGATGCCTTTATAATGTTGTACAAAGCATCCGTAATGCTTATACCCACCATTATAATGCATTATAATGGTATCTATAAAAACGTGGTCTTAATGGGCTCCCCCTTTGGGTCTGGTTAGGGTTAGGGCTTCCTCTGCCGCCCCCTGAAGGATGGACTCTTCCTTTGGGTCTGGTTCCTCTCAAGGTTTCTTCCTTTTAGGGAGTTTTTCTTTGCTACTCACTCTGGGCTTTGGGCGGGGTTAATATAAATGCTTTGAGACAATGTAATGTTGTAAAAATGCGCTAAACAAATAAAATGGAGGAACAAGAAAGTGATTTTGAGGATGTATCTCACGAGCAAGGGGGACACATCTGATGAGGAAGAAGCTTCTAAAACTAAACTGTTTAATGTAATTAAATTAAGATTAAGATTCTTGTGCATTCAGCAGCAAGAACATGCAGACGAACATACATATGGTGCCAAAGACACAAGGTACAAAGACAATATAAACCAGAGGTGGCCAATCTTATCCGCAAAGGGCCACTGTGTGTGCAGGTTTTCGCTGCAGGTCCCTAATTATATTACTAATTAGAGGACTGATTGACTGAGGGGTCCTTACACCTGGGTTTGAACAGCTGACCTAAAGGTTTCCCCAAAAACTTGCATAGACACCAGCCCTTTGCGGATAAGATTGGCCACCACTGATATAAACAGTTACAACAAAGGAAATGCAGTGCAAACAAATAAATGAAATATTCCAAAAAACAGAATATGATATTAAAAATAAACATTTCAAGGTAAGAATAATTACGTGCAAATAAATTATGTGCAGCTGGGGCAGAAAGTGTGGGATTGTATTGTAAAGAGGCAGGAAGCTTCCTGTTGTGTTACAGCTCCGGGGGAGGGGTGACACTTCAGCAGGAGGTGCTGTGGTGTGGAATGGCAGCAGACAGGAAGGAGCCCCAGTAGCATTTTTAGCACACCATGGTTATTATCCCAACATGGCTGGAAGTATTGTTGAAGGAGACTTTGTGCTTGTGTGCCTCACCGAGGACGGCAATGTTGAAACCGAGTTCTTACGACGTTGCAGCCAAAACGGGCATCCAACATTTTTTTCCCCAGATACTGATAACATCAGTGTTTATGGAAAAGAGGATGTGGTATTCAGGCTACTGTTGGAGTCGAACTCCGCCGGGTCCGTTGATGAGAAGAGATTCACTGCACAGTCGAGGAGTAGTTGCAAGTCACCAGTTTATTACCTATTCAGATTGCATGCAATCAGGGAGCGACCATCTGACATACATTCAGCATGTACAAGAAGATGCTCGAACCATAGGTGTCGGCTCTAGGTCTTTATAGGCCTTTTGGGGTGTGGCCTCCCTTTTCTGTACTTTTTCACCTAGGTGACTCGCACATACATTGACATTTACTCTAGTTAGCCATTAAGTACATGTCCCCCCTCCCCTTTTATATTGTGCAAAAATTAGAAAAAGTATTAGTTCACCCTGTCCTCTGGCACAGGACATCTCGCTATCAATTCTTGATTTCTGCCAACTTCATGAAGTGAGATTGCCCCATCCTGCAGGCCCAGTATCAGTTCCCCTGTCCGGTGTCTGCATTTTATTTAACACTGTGTTTTTAGACATTAGTAAGTTAGTATTTGGATTATTTGTAAAATCACCCCTCATTATTGTATGATTAACCCCTCACTACCAACACCAACTAGTACAGGAAGCACCAATTAGCGTTGTACACAAAAGCTTGTGTTTCCTCCTAAATTGTCTGCTTACAATCCAAAGAAATAAAGTTTGAAATCAACAGGGTGACAAATTCAATTACATGGAAAATGGATTTATAAAGGGTTTTCTATACTTTCTTCAAGCATATCCATCTTACCTCATGCCACTAACTTCAGTGGTGGGGTAATAAGTTATACCACTGATAATCTTGTTTGCAGTTGATCATAAAAAAAGGTGGGTAGTTAAGGTTCAGGGAGTAAAAGTCCAGACGAAGGTTTTGTTTCAACTAACCAGCTGAGTATAAAGAGCCACGGTCACAGAGTACTCAACTGGTTGGTTGGAACAAAATCTTGGTCTGGACTTTTACTCTCTGGACCTTAACTACCCACTTCTGAGTATAATCAAAGAGTCTAAGAACATTATATGCAACATTTGTAACTTAGATATGTATGACTGCAGTGGTAGAGATGTTTTCATGTTTCTGGAATATGGTGAGAGGCATTTGCTAAAAATGTTCTAACTGACCCCACTTTTCCCTAAATCATGTGTAAAAGTCTTAAATTAAGTAATGCGCTGAACCCATGGGCATAAATTATGGGGGGATGGGGGTTGTAACCCCCCAATAATCAAAACCAGCCAATACACCCCCTGGACCCCCTTAAATGGGTGGAGACCTCACCCTCTCCAATGCTCAACCCAAAGTTATGTCCTTGGCTGAACCTAACTTTGGCCAGCTGGCTGGTGTGAGATTTTCAATTTGAGACAAGTCTGCACACATGCACACACATTTACATGTATGTAAATAGTCTGTGGGGTTTGCAAACTACCCCAACGCTTTTAATGTAGCTAATTTTAGATTTATAATTGCATAATATAGATTTATCGTAAGATTTCTTGCGTGAGCGTGAGAATCAGAAAGTGTGAGTGTCACACCAGATGCGTGAGAGTTGGCAACCCTACAAACATGTTATCCATCCATCTATCCATCCATCCATCTTCTGGACCTCTTACCTAGCAGGAGGTCACAGTCTGAAACTAATAGTTACACGTTTTAGAGTGATTTGATGCTTTTTTGTGTGTGGACGTGGAGTTTACATGTTCTCCCAGTTTGAGTGAGTTTCACCAGCAGTCCAGAGACATGCAGTTAGGCTAATTGTCCAAATATGTACTCACACTAGGTCCAATCACCTTGTACCACTGGTCTGTGCTTAATGTTCTGGACCCAAGTATGCTTTCATCATCATCATCATCCGAATTCTTGTGTTAAAGAAAACACAGGAAAAAAAGTGCACACAGCAGAATGGAATTCTGTTATTAATGTCCTTATTTTGTGGCTTATTTAGAATCGTTTTGGACAAGATGACACATAACCCTCTTAAAGATTTATTGTGTATGCAATGCAGTGATTTTCATTTAATCATACTGCACGTAAAAGAATAAGTCTTGCATTTTACCAGATACCGTTTTGTGCACTGCATCCAGTTGTTCCTGGATACTCTCGTCAGCCCAAATTTCCAGCAAACACTGCACCTCTTCCGTAGACCAAAGTGATTCCTTTGCCGCAATGTCTGTTAAATGGCCAATTGCATCATCAACGTTATGTCTGTGTTCTGTGCTTGGGAACAGTTAGCGATCACACTAGATGCGTACCATGCCCAAGTCCAGCTGAACCGTGCCCAGGCATGCAACAGAATGATTACACTAGTCAAACAAACTGAGTGTCGGGGGTGAAACGTGAACCCCCTGCATATTACACTTGTGAGTACATGAGTACACTAGTGTGAGTAAATGAGTACACTAGTGTGAGTACACCCTAAATTGCCCTCAGCGCATGCGTAGCTTAGCTTCCCATCCAGGGTGTCCCATGCTGCCTGAGAGGCTCCAACTTCACTGCCACCCTGTTGTCCGTATGTCTAATAATAATAATAATAGATACTTTATTGATCCCCATGGGGAAATTGTTTTTACGCCTCCCTCAACTTGCTCTTTATAGAGTAAGCTGTCCGTGAAGGGCAGCCACCCGTTGGGGTGCCCAGGGAGCTGGGGGTTAAGGGCCTTGCTCAAGGACCCACAGATGTGCTGAGGCTGGGTTTGAACCAATGACCTTGTGATTACAGATACACAGTCTTAGCCCACTGAACCACACGCTGCACACACTGTTTTTGGCGGTTGGATAGATTTTCTTCAAAGTACACTAAGAGACCAGATAACCACGAATGCAGAGCTGCATAGACATAAGTGGTGACCTCAGCATGAACCCAGCAGTAACTGCAGCATGTTCGGCTTTCCAAGGAGGAATGAAGTCGCCATGAAGCAGGAACCGAGTGGCTCCACTCCTTATTAGGTCTGTCATATTAATGTTTTTTGGGGTATGCATCTAACTGTGTGAAAATATTTATTCAGCTGTATTTAGTGTTTGTCTTTGTATATTTTTATATATCATCATACATAAACAGTAATTTGACAGACAAACAACAAAGAAAGCAAGAAAAAATGTAAATAAACACCCTTTGTGTTGAATTTTGTCGTAAGACTGGGAGGGAAGAAGGCGGGCAGATAGAAAGTGAGAGAGACAGAGAGAGAGAGAGAGAGAGAGAGAGAGTCAGAGACAGAGAGAGGTATATATACAAAGCATCAGTGAGTTTCTTTTCCACCGTGCAAGCAGCAGGAAAAGTGTGTATCCCCGTGTTGGGCCGTGTGGCATGTGTATATACAAGTTCCTTGAACTGGAAGGACCCCTGAAGACTGCACAATGAAGATCCGCTTCAGCGACCTGCTGTCAGACTTTTTATTTGAGTACGAGACCCCCCGCCAGGTGCTGGTGAAGAACAAGAGGGTGGGGGTGGTGTGCCGGCTCATCCAGCTGGGGGTCCTGGTCTACATCATTGGGTGAGTCGCATTCCATCTCTCTGGCAGGCAGCTTCACGATCCAGCGTGCTGGAACTGGGGCCCAATGCGCAGCTCTCTTATCAGAAGAAGAGGGAGTTTATCGCATGTGTGGACTTGCAACATTTCGCAAATTTCAGAGATATAACAAGAGAAATTGCAAAATGTAGCAGAAGAACAGAAAAGTAGACCAAGAATCTCTGTGACAGTCCGTTTTATCTTGTGAATTTTCTTTGGGATGGTTTCCCGCTATTAAAATTGATGTTATTGTGGGCGCAAAATCAGTGGAATCAGTGGAATGTGGCTCTGTGGGTTAGGACGCGTTACGGGAAAGTTGCTGGTCCGAATCCTGGGGGCTGGTACACGGATGCTGCTGTTGGGCCCGTGAGCAAGGCCCTTAACCCCCAATTACTCCTGGCGCTCTGGCCGCTAGCTGACTGGCAGATTTAGGTATGAGCAACATGGGCAACCACCCATGTCCGGGGGCGGCACAGGGCACCCGCACCAAGAGAATTATTTTTTTTTTTGCGCAATTGGTTTTATATTACTCTTGCATGTCACATCAGTGATATCATGTTACCATGTGGGTCAGTTAACCTTGTTGCAGTGGGCGCCCTGATTCTAGTTTGTCAGCTAGGCAGGTTACCACTCGAAAGTACAGGATGGGGAAGAGGATGGGCTGATTTGAGGTCACTCCAGAAGGAGCCTGAGATAGGGGGAAGGAGGCTTGGGGAGGGGGGGTTCACCCAGGGCGCCATACAAGCTAGAACAGGCCACTGTGCTATCTGACCTTGCGCTCTGACTCCCAATCTGGTTTTCACAGTGAGATAACAGCATTCTTAGGTAGTACCCAAAACTACCCATCATGCAACCCTGCAGAAAGTTGTTATGAGGACCAAGAGCTTAGACGGCAGTCTGATGGCTTGCAGGAAACTGCTCGCTGACATATGCACAGATGCTCATTTAAGACATGGGGATGGTATTTCTCCACTGAATGGACTCTTACATGATTTTGGTCACAAATGTCACACCACTAAAAAGACACACACAGATACAGAATGTTTTCCCCAGGAAAATTGCTGACAGAATTGCACAAAAGTAGGGCACAAAATCTACCTATTTGTGCTATTGTGCAGATGTGCTATTTTGTGGGACAAGAGCCCTCACCCTACACATGGTATGAGGCAGGGGACACCTTGGACGGGATGCCAGTCTATCACAGGGCACAGGGCAGGGGACACCTTGGACGGGATGCCAGTCTATCACAGGGCACAGGGCAGGGGACACCTTGGACGGGATGCCAGTCCATCACAGGATACAGGGCAGGGGACACCCTGGATAGGGTGCCAGTCCCTCTGATGGGGGGGGGCATTTCTGAGATGCTGCTTCACCTAACTGCACATCTTGTTCTAACACAGAAAGCAAACTAACACAGACATGGAGCAGGGGCAGAATTTGAACCCCTTTTGGGGGTGTGAGGCTACGAAAATCTAAGTTGACATGGAAATGACAAGAGCCGGGTGTGTGGTTCTCTCAGAGTATATGTGTGTGAATACTGATATCACAACTGTAATAAGAACAGCAGAAAAAATGTGCCAGGCAATAAAGATAAAGGGATTTATGGAGGCATTTCTGGCCTGGTGAGCAGTTTGGCAGTTTGAAGTTGTACTTTTGGTTTTGGATCCAGTACAGAAGATAGAGGCCTGACTTGCTTTCAGCAGCTGGTTGGCTAGTCAGGGCAGCAACTCTCAAAAACACTGTAAGACAGTAATGATACAACCTGCTGCAGGTCGCCTTGTCAGCTGCATGCTGCTATTTGTGGGAGGTGAGGGGTCATGAGGTTTTTTTGTTTCCTGAGAAACGCAGTCAGGGGTGATGACAGGCATATGATCTTGGGGAGATGTTCTAGATGGGAGATATTTTTGCACGTCAATTTGATAAATGAGGCAGCATGTTTAGTTTGCTAAACTTCTACATTTTACGTTTTCTGTGTCTAGATGTGGGAAAATGGCTGATTTATTGGCACGTTATTGATTTATTGTAGCATCATGACAGAACGACATGAAACTGTGAGTGACCATGAACCCCAGTGCTTGCCTGGTGTTGCTGCTGGGAGATAGAATTACAGCAGTAGGGGCCTGCAGCCATAGAAACCAAAGATGCACACATGTGTGTTTGTTTTCACCCAACAGTCCAGTGTAATCACCCTAGTCTGGATTATACTAAGAAAAGGTCATGTGACCAAAGCGGGCTGTCATGTAACACGCCACATAATTGGTGCTCTTCTACACTGAAGAGACTCCACATCCTCTCCCCAAGCTCCGCACCTCCTGGGTTTGCACTGTTTGCTTTTCAATGATGTTCTGAGGATCTGTGTTCTGATGGAAAAATGCACACTTGTTTATTAATTCTGTTACCAAAGGTTTTACAGTTTCGCAGTAACGGTGGATTTGGAATTTCCTGCTACAGATATAATGGGAACGCAATTAAATAATCCATGTCCAATAGATATCCACCTTTCCGTTATCTTGCTGGAGCCATAAACCTCACAAAGAATTCATGTAGGTCCCATAATGTGAATAATACTGAGGGGGATCTAGGTTCTAGAACTCTTACAAAGTTCTGCAATGCCACTCTGCCTGTTTACTGTAAACACAAAGCCTAGGATTTCCTCAGTCACTGATGCACCCTTACCCCATTCCCATGACATCTCCTGGCCTCTAGATGGAGCTGTAACACACAGCCAAGTGCAAGGCAATGTTTATGGGTAAGGCGGGAGTGGAAGGCTTGGGGCAGACTGGCGCCCTGGTATCTCCTTTTCTAGGTTGGTCTAAGAGGCGGCTTACTGTGTTGCCTAATGGGTTGACCAGCCTTGCCTTGGCCTACAGGTGGGTGTTTATCTACGAGAAGGGCTACCAGTCCACTGACACTGCTATTAGCTCCATCATGACGAAGATGAAAGGCATTGGCGTTACCAATGAGAACGGCACGGCGCGCATATGGGACGTGGCGGATTACGTCTTTCCGGCACAGGTGAGCCATCCTCCGTCAACAGACGTGACAGACATTTGTTTTCCAGTTCTGGGTGACGGCACATGCCTTGATGTGACAGTGGGGGGAAACTTGACTGTTTGCCACACAAAAAATTCAAGGATGACGAGGAGTGTCGACAGTGTCTACACCCATGTGATGGCTAGAGACTTTGGGCCCCACGGAGGCATAACAAATTGGGCCAGACCAATCCAGTTATTTCCCAAATTTTTTAGGCCCGTTGTCACTCACAGGCCCTTGGAATCGTCCTAGCTCCCCTCACCGACACCCCCCTACCAACCCCCCCGTTACGGCTCCCCTGCTGCCAAGCTCTGCACTATAACAGCGAATGGAAACTGCAAATTAAAGATACAATTTTTGTAATATGTAGTCATATATTTGTAGATTAATGAGAATCTCACAAAATCACTGCATAGGTGGAAGGAAATGATTGTAAACGTGGAGCAGGAACGTGGATTGTTATTCTACAAGATCACTTTCTTCATCCTAGGGAGCCTCATCGTTTGTGGTGATGACAAACTACATCATGACAGAGGGACAGCAGCAGGGTACGTGCCCAGAGGTAAATGCGGGAAACGCCGAAAGCGCAGTCAGTACGCCCCCAGGGGGAAATGCCAGTGCACAGTGTTTCTCTTGTGTTTGTCACCTCTCTCAGCGGCAGGTTGACCAACAAGCTCACAATTCTTTGTGGTAACACAGCACACCTTGTGTTTCTCACGCTGAGAAGTAAAGGATAACGCCCACTGAGGTGTCCAGTTATATGGAATTAATTGACGATGCCCAGGCATACAGAGTGGAGATTTCTGCCAAGTTCATAGCTGTCCTGAGTTACACAGTTAATAGCCACCTACCAGCCAATCAGAAAATAGCACTTGTTGTTTCCAGGTAAATTCCAAAATAAGTTACATGTGATCCCACTGCAAACACATTATTACATGGATGCGCATAAACATAGAGTGCAAACAAGGTGGAAATGGAAGAGCAAGAGTAGGCAGGGCTCTAAAGTGTCACGCACTGACCGTGGGACACACACTCCGCCCCTAACAGATCTCACTCCAAATTTGAGAGCCCTGCTTGTTAAGCATGATAAATACACTAAGTAGCCAGTTTGATAGGTATGCCAACTTCTTAACACAAACAACCTGGTCCGCTGAAGAAAAAAGATCCAGTCAATTGCATTTCTATGGGCAAAATCAGGTGATGATGTCCAGATTAGTTAAAGCTAACAGTCCTTAGTGTTGTGCAGAATACTCATAAAGTGGCTCCTACGTGGTATTAACTAGCTAGCGGTACCCAGGAAAAGCAGGTCCTACATGGTACTAGATGGTTAGGGGTACCTAATAAAGCGGGTCCCACATGGCACTAGGTAGCTAGGGGTACCTAATAAAGTGGGTTCTACATGGCACTAGGTAGCTAAGGGTACCTAATAAAGTCCACTGAGTTTAAATTCATAAATTTGAAATGAAAGGAAATAATAGTTACTGTGCATCTTCATAAGTATAGGTTTGTTTATATGTGCAGAAGTCACACCTTGGATCTAGGGTGACCACCTAATCCATGTCAGGAGGGACACTATGAGCTACTTCAGCTTTTACGAACTACTTTAAAGCTGAAAGGATTCTGTGCTCTGCTAAAATGTTTGGTTAGTTCCTAGATTGAAAGACTCATCCAGCTGTTTCGCATTAACATTACTGACACATATGCATGATTATAGGAGACTGACCAATCAGCATACGGCAAGAACCCAGTGCTTAAGTGAAATCCTGGTCCTTTTAATTGAAATGTTTGAAATGGTAGTTTACAAATCCTGTTGTAGCTCATAGTGTCCCTCCTGACATGGATTAGGTGGTCACCCTACTTGGATCATAGCCACCTGTCCCTCAGCCACACGCCTGATTTTCATATTTTTTGCCTAAGCTTACAAACGATGTTTATGGGTCAGAGAACTAATAAGCAAAGCAGAATATTTGCTTACCCATAGCTGTACAGACCCACCTGACTTCTGCACGACTGTCTGTCTTTTCACCCTCCAGCCTCAGGCTAACTGCACGTCGGACACGGACTGCAAGGGAGGAACATTCAAACGTACGGGACATGGTAAATTGTAGCCGTTTAGTGTTGTGTGAGTGAAAATGCAATGTCATGACAGCCACCGGACATTCAACAAACACTGCGGCGTACGAGCCCAGTTTTCTGGCACTCAGGGATACCAAGCCTGTTGACCGAAGGCGGTGGTTTCTGTAACGGATGCTCATTCTCAGTTTGCACTGCGGTCTTTACAAATATTTACTGTGGTTGAAGCCACCCAAACACGTAGAGGCACGCACTCATCCCCGGGGGGACGTCTTTCCAAGAAACTGCTGGAAACCGGGCCAAGTGGGGAGAGTCATGTTGACCACATGATTTTCCTCTGGGGGGATAATGAAGTTTACCTTGACCTTGACCTTGAGTCATTCTGCAGGGCTTCGCTGAATCCTTCAGCCATGTCTCTCTGTCTCCAGCTCTATACTGTATCCTGAGACAGGGATGCCACTAGAGATATTAAGCCCCCATCCCAGACCAATCAGATTACATTCCAGATTTTTAGGGCCCCCGTCACTGGCATGGCCACTAGTCTGGATTTTGCCCAGACAGTCCGGTCTCCCCCACCCGGTCCATACTGATTTTGGGTGTCCTCCTTTTAGCCTCCTTGTTTTCTTGTTTCCCTCCCCCATCTACCTCCCCATCAACAACTAGTGCCACTCTCTCCCACACAACAAACATGAAACAATTGCACATACATATTGTGGAAGCTGAGAACGGCCATGGTTGCAAGTATTTTTTATCTTTTTATAAGCTGTTATTGATATTTTTGGCTTCCCCCCTCCCCCCACTGCTCAACAAATCCTTTTTAGAGTCATGCTGGTGGGGGCCCTACCCGTTACTGAGGGTCCCTTGGAATCGCTTGGAATTGATGGGGGAATGGAACTTTTCCCCTGTCCCGAGAAACCTTTTCTTTACAGGGAGGCTGAAAACGACGCGGCTTCCATGTCTGGCCGCAGCTGCTCTTATTTGCACGATGTCGTCAGTGTTTGCACGGGAGCAGTACACATGTAGGGTGCACGAAAGGTAGATGAAATGACAGGAAAGCTGAGGATGCTATTTGTCTTACTCTCCTACCTGACACAGAATCGCTCAGGCAGAAACACAAATAGACTCATAAAATACAACATGCGGCATGTGCTGTAAGAAGATACTGCCATCCTTCGTGTTATCAAATAAATCACCTCTCTGTTACCCCCCCAGGGCAGCTGACTGGGAAATGCCTCACGGGGGTTAGAAAGTGTGAGATTCAAGCCTGGTGCCCCACTGAGAACGAACCTAAGACCCCTGAGTAAGACCCCCCCTCCCATACATACAGACATCAGTGTCCCTCTGCCATTGCTGATGTGTCTTTTTTCATTTTCACTTAAAGCCCGGCTCTTCTGATGTCATCAGAAAACTTCACGCTTTACATCAAAAACTCGATCGCCTTTCCGGAATTTAAAGTCTCCAGGTAGGTGACACTAGCGGCTGTTTCTGTCAGCTTTGTGCTATGCTCTGTAGATCAGTGCCACTCAAAGTCCATGTAGTACTTTAAGCAAGCTTCACCACCAGCGCCCCCTGTATGAGACAAAGTGAAATTAGTTTGTTAAGTAGGTGCACCCCCTCCCAGAAGATGGCGCCATAATCGGCTGCCTATGTCTCCCAATGGTAAATAGATTATAGTGATTTTTAAACATGAGTGATGGACTTTTTTTGTAAATTAAAAGTAGTTGGATTTAGGAGTGCAATGCATTCAATCCATTCCGTAAAGACCTCCATAGCGTATCACAATGGCAGGGTACACTCCCTCTGGTAACTCCTCTGGTACATTCTTTCTGGTACACCCTCTCTAGTACACTCCTTCTGGTACATCCTTTCTAGTACACCCTCTGTGGTACACTCCCTCTGGTACACCCTCACTAGTACACCCTCTGTGGTACACTCCCTCTGGTACACCCTCTGTGGTACACTCCCTCTGGTACACCCTCTCTGCTACTCCACCTCTGGTATACCTCTAGTATATTCTCTCTGGTACACCCCCTATGGTACACCCTCTCTAGTACACCCCCTTCCAAGCTACTGCCTGCCACTGCCTCGGAGCCTCAGATTACCTAAAAAGACTGCCCAGCACTGGTACAACCCCGCTGGTACACCCTTTCTAGTACATCCTCCCTGGTACTCTCTCTCTAATACTCTCTCTCTGGGACACTCCCTCTGGTACACCCTATCTTCTACACCCTCCCTGGTATACCCTCTCTGGTATACCCTGTCTAGTACACCCTCCCTGGTATACCCTGTCTAGTACACCCTCCCTGGTATACCCTGTCTGGTACACCCTCCCTGGTATACCCTCTCTGGTATACCCTGTCTAGTACACCCTCTCTGGTACTCTCTCTCTGGGACACTCCCCCTGGTATACCCCCTCTGGTACACCCTATCTAGTACACTCTCCCTGGTATACCCTGTCTAGTACACCCTCCCTGGTATACCCTCCCTGGTATACCCTCTCTGGTACTCTCTCCCTCTGGTACACTCCCTCTGTTGCACCCCCTACCAAGCCACTGCTGCCACTGCCTCAGTGCCCCAGATTAGCTAACAAGACTGCCCAGCACTCTCAGTCTGAGAATGACATAGCTTACATCTAGACTGTGGACATTTTATACATTATCTATCTATTCTAATAATTAACCCATTCTGCTTCAAAAACATAGCTGTGACATGTCTTAGCTTGCAACAATGTTCTATAAAAGGGTCCCATGATCCCATGTAAGGGAATTGGCTGGATTTATTTGTACTACATGAAGAACAGGATACGCCATGCTTATAGGCCGGCAACCACCCAGGAGGCCTCAGAGCATCTAATGTCTTCCTTCTCTGATTTTTTCAGGAGTAATTTGGTGGAAGATGTGAACATCACTTATCTTACAAGCTGCATCTATGATCCAAAAAATAACCCCCTCTGCCCCATCTTCAGACTGGGGGACATCGTGAAACTCTCTGGTTTCCAATACGCAGACATCGCCAAAGAGGTACACTGTTCGTCAGTCACGTCACGCCCGGGGTCACCTGACTCACAACAGAGAGAGTTCGAGACTCAGGCTCTAGGTCACACAGAAGAGATAAACCTCACAGACCATGCCTTGAAGATTTACAGAAGAAAACACAGATCTTAGTGAAGACAATCACATCACCACATCTTTATTCCCATTGTGTCACCTATTGTCCTCTCCCTTGCAACAGTGGCATGAAAATTTCCCATAGCACCTCTGAAAAAAAACTGCTACAAAGTAAATCTTGAAAGTGACAGGCGCCTACTGAGCTCTGGCTTTCCTCTGGATAGGGTGGTGGCATTGGAATTGTCATAGACTGGAAGTGTGACCTTGACTTCCCCGTGAGATACTGCAAACCTGACTACTCCTTCTACGCCCTTTATGGCGACGCACAGAAGACTGACTCCACCCAGTCATCCCTCGGCTACAACTTCAGGTTTGCAGTGCTGTTCTTCCAAACGGCCCGGTGAGTCGCTGTCACACCCATGGGGAAGCAGTTTCTGATTTGCTTTTGGTTTTAGGTACGCTAAATATTACATGGAGAACGGGACAGAGAAAAGGACACTCATTAAGGTGTTCGGCATACAGATCGACATCCTCGTGTGGGGGGAGGTAAGCGTGCTTCTTCATAGCTCTACTGCAGTAGACTTTTCCAGAATTATGAGGAATATGACTGAAGCCCCTGTTATTTGTCATTAACCAAAAGAGGGATCAGACCCCCTCTCTTCCTCCATTGAGGCCTGTTAGTATTTACTCCTTATTTCCTGGGTCTGTAATGGAAATTGGGGGCCCAGGGCTGACCCACAGTGATCAGCTCCCTTTTTTCTCCAGGCAAGGAAATTCGACATCATCCCAACCCTGACGGCCATTGGTTCTGGAGTGGGCATTTTCGGAGTGGTGAGTCACGATCAGCGAAAAAAAACAAAGTCAAGGTGATGAATTATTTTGATTTGAACTGGCTCTTGCAAAGATGGAGGAGGCTAAGTGAGTAGCCTATGAGGCTGCAGGGTCACGGGTTTGAATCTATTCTCCCCCCCCCCCAACACACTCTCTGTCTGCGAAGTTTCTGTGTGCCACTCTGTTCTGGATACATGAAAAGACATATAATAAATAATATCGAAAAGACTAATCATGCATACTGTACTATTCAATATCTGCTGGGGACACACAATATGATTGACTTTCTTATTTCTCCAGTCACTATAATGTTTTGCCTTCTGTCTTTAAGGCCACCGTAGTCTGTGACCTGGTTCTTCTGTATGTCCTGCCCAAAAGAGACCTGTATAAGAACATGAAGTTCAAACACACAGAAATCCAGGAGAAGGTGAGCTTCTTCCAAACAATGCAAATAGCAGAATCAGAATCACAGCAGGAGCATATCTGGGATGAGCAGCTGGATGGATGGAAGGATGGCTGAAGCTGGATGGATGGATGGCTGAATGCTGAAGCTGGATGGATGGCTGAATGCTGGATGAATGGATGAATGGCTGAATGCTGAAGCTGGATGGATGGCTGAACGCTGAAGCAGGATAGATGGCTGAATGCTGAATAGATGGTTGGCTGAATGCTGTCCTCTGTCCATTTGTCACACGCACATTCAATAATCCTGTACTACAAACTCTTCAATGTCATATTATAACTTGCATATCACAGACCTCTCATATCTGACACACATCCTGCTAATTGAAATCTGGTCAAATGTGATTCATCTTTAGCCCTGTCCATAAACTGTGAATTGGTTTCTTCAAGGTCATTTTCATGTGATGATTCTGTTACTTTGTTCACCACCTGTACATAAAAACATCAGAAGCTGTCATTAAGTTGTTATGACACTTTTAATATGTAGGAAACATTGGAAAAAAATAATAAAAAGGCAGAGAAAACATGCTAAATCGAAGAGAACAGGTGCAGCTTGTTGCTGCTTGCTGGTCACATGAACAGTTCATTTATTCCTATCATTGTGGGGACTCCCCATTCATTTCTATGAGCATAACCCTAACCCTAACCCTAACCCTAACCTCTACCTAGCCTAACCTTAATACCAGAAGTTTAGCTATTCACAGATTTTCTAAAATTGATGTTTATATGGTGGGGACCCAAAAAATGTCCCCTAAAACTAAAAAATAACAAGTTTGGTTACTTTTGTCCCCAAATGTGGTAAATACAAACCTTCTGCACACACACACACACGCACACACATGCATGCATGCACATGTGTAGGCTGGCTACTGAATGATCTTCTCCTGCCTGCGGTTGCCATGGCAATGCGGGAGCAGAGCTGCTTGCAACAGCGCAGGGCACCTGGTGACCCGCAGCACCATTCTCAGGGTATATGACACAAAGCAGGGAGGAGGAGGCTCACACAGCGTAGCGTGACAATAAAATCAGACAAAAACATAAGAGTGTAACGGGAGATGCTTTGTCTTTCAGAAACCAGCTTCAAATCTGGACGATGGAAACACAGCAAACGAAGGTAAAGCTCTCGATATGTTCATGCATATTTACATACTCTCACGTTTTTCCTGCAGTTCATAGCACCTTGCACACTCTCACACATCACCTGCAGCTCGTAGCACTTTACACACTCTCACGCTTCTCCTGTGGCTCATAGCACCTTGCACATTCTCACGCTTCTCCTGTGGCTCATAGCACCTTGCATACTCTCACGCCTCTCCTGCACCTCGTAGCACCTTGCACATTCTCACGCCTCTCCTGCACCTCGTAGCACCTTGCACATTCTCACGCCTCTCCTGCACCTCGTTGCACCTTGCATACTCTCACGCCTCTCCTGCGGCTCATTCCCCATTGCACACTCTAACTCTTGGTTCTGAGCCTCTGATCTGATCTGAGACCCCGTTAACCAGGGGCAGGACTGCACTGAAATGCTTCCCAGGACTGCTGGTGACCACAGCCAGACTCCCCCCCCCCCCCCCCGACTTGAAAACCAGGGCCAGCCAGTGACCTGCTGACAGACTGCCTCATACAGCCCCCAACATCTGTATAAATCCCCAGAGATGTATAAAATGCATGCACACGAGTGTTTTTGTATAGAATTGGAATATACAGTACATATATGTCTTGGAATAAAATCTTTTGCTATTAATGTTATGGGCATAAGCTTGTAGCAACCAATGTCAGCGATAAGACAGAAGCAAGTCACTATATTGGATATACTATGTTATGAAACATGCTGGTCAGTCTCTGACTGCCTCTCATTTCAGTTGAATTATGCTGCTTGCGACATCTGTACATGTTTTTGAAAAAGTTGAAACACTCAGGCATTTTCCAAGAAAGCTTGTATGAACAGCTCGATGTTTTAAGATTTAATATTTTTTTATTGATATGGAGCATTAAAATAAAAAGCATCTCAACACAAGCACTCCAGTCCACTATAATCGGTGCAGGTCTTTATTTATGTCTATTGTACAAAAGCATGCAAAAATAGGCTCTTTATATTGGTACATATTTACATTTCGGTATGGATGTGTCATGCATTGTGGGGCTGTGCCCATGACCAAAAATAAAGCGACAGAGTGTGACTGTCCTCCACAAACATGCTGCGTCGCCCTCGGGAGCAGCGGCGGCTCACGCCGTGTCGCCCTCGGGAGCAGCGGCGGCACCAGTCTGCTCTCCTGTCTCCTGGCCTCTGCACACCAACACGCTTCCATAGCCCTCTCTCTTAATGACAGTCTGTTTTTAAGCATCGTTTATTTGTCCATTCAGTAGTAGCAGGAACACAAATTAATGTTTTTCTTCTGCAGTCACCACCAACTGCCCTTTTATATTTAGTAATAATGCTTTTGGCGCAATGGGGGGGCGGGGGGGGGGCGGGCAGACAGCCTCATTGTGCTATGCATTCATTTATTTATATGGTATATTATATTATATACAGGTACAGGCCATGCCTGGTACAAAGACCACCAGAAATAATTTACACATGGTTGAATCATCACAGGTTTGTCATATAAATGTGCAAAGGACACACGGCTAGAGAGGAGAGCACACACAGAAGGTACGGTGCAGACCACAGACACACAGGATATGGTGACACGTCCAGTCAAGCATGTGGCAGCCTGGAGGAAGCTGCTCGTTATCTGGAATCAAATATTTCTGCAACACCTTAAAACTGAAAGAACTGCTCAAAATCTACTTATTTTGATCTGGGTCTCTAGGAGAGTCATTAAAACAAGGAAAAAGCCGACAGCAGTATTTCATTGGCAATAACAGTGAGTTAAAGAACATAAATAAAAAAGGTAGTGCTGGTGTGTGTGTGTGTGGGCATGCATGTGTATTTGCGTGTGTGTGTGTGTATGCATGTGTATTTGAGAGTTTGCATGCATGTGTGCGTGTGTGTGGGCATGCATGTGTGTATGTGTGGGCATGCATGTGTGTGTGCGTGTGTGGGCATGCATGTGTGTGCGTGGGCATGCACTTGTGTGTGCGTGTGTGGGCATGCATGTGTGTGTGCGTGTGTGGGCATGCATGTGTGTGCGTGGGCATGCACTTGTGTGTGCGTGTTTGGGCATGCATGTGTGTGTGCGTAGGAATCCTCAAGCCCCACCCATTTGCACGGTTTATCTGCACTGAAGCGGAGGGTCGACCCAGCCTGATGTAACACAAAGAAAGCGGCGACTGTGACACTTCGGGCTGACATGCCCAAAGATGGCAAGAGAGGGCTAGACCCCACTGCTTGGCCTTCTGGGTAATAGGAGTTTGTTCCTTCTTATACTCTTTTTGGGGGGGGGGGTGGCTACCTGTGGCTAACCACAGTGTGTCTTAAACATGCAGTGGCACCTCCTCCTTTGGCATGGCCTGCTTCATAAAACATTTACCGTTAAACCCGTGCGCGGGGGGGAAGGGGGCGCTACAGCGCTTCATAAATAAACCGTCAGAGTGGCATGTAGCCGGTGTGAGCTGCACGCCTGCACTAAGCCCAGGGCCATTTCGCCACACCTCGCATTTCCTATGAACAAGACACCTACTGCTTACATTTAGGGACATAAAACTCTCCAAAGTCGGGCACAAACACTTAAGACGACTCGTGACCACACTGGAATGACAGCTATTTAAAACAATTGGAATAATATTCTTCTTTTTGGTCATTTTTTCCCAGAAGAATGCATTTTAGAAACATTAAGATTGATAAACTTTATTAATCCCGAGGATTAACTAGGTGTGAAGTGAAAATGTTGCAGGACAGAGAATAGGCTTTAAAGTCCAGGGCAGATTTAAATTTACACACTAAAGCTGCTTTCCTGCAAAACATTATGTATATGTAATATCTTCAGGATGTCTCTGCTCGTTTAGCCTTTGGCACCGTATGTGATAACTGGCAATTACTTTGTGTGACGAATTCACTGTAATTTGCCAGAAAACACCATCAAATCTCCAGGACTGAAGTCCTATTGAACCCACTGTCTGACTACATGCTCAGACTAATATGCACAGTGGATATTATACATATATACGCGCTGAACAGCACATACAAAGATATTTTCACAGAACGTGTTCTGCCCTCGCCGATGTTCTGCAGATGTTCGAAGGTTGATGGTTTTGATGGCACCATGGAATCGTCTCCATGCCATTCTCACAGGAGAGAAGAGAATCCCAGCAGACATGGCCTGTCACACTGCGCTGCCCATGGGGGTAAAGCTGCCAGCAGGGGCACCATAATGCTGCGATGGGTAACGTGTGGGGGGGTGCTCCACGTTAATGGCTGCAGGCGATGCATTCACGCATCGCCGTGGGGTTTCCTCGTTAGCTGAGAAGCTGCTCACCCCTAGGTCGGTTTCAGATGGATTCTGACACCATGGTCTGCCCCCCTGCCGGCCCCAATGCCCCCCCCAGTCAGCTGAACAGACTGTTTGTCGATGGGGGTGAGAAACAAGCAGGCGAAGGCGACAAGCATTCATCACGCCGTGAGAAACCACCGAGGAGAGCGAGGCCACCGACAGCGTCCTGGACATGGGAACGCCAACAGGACCCCACGGATCTCTGAGAGGCCTTAGGTCAGTGGGAGGGGCATTATTCTGGTGTGACCTGGGGGCAGGGCAGGCTAGGGCGGGGCGGAGGCGGTGAATGAAGCACAAGGGGGGTGATGGAATGGGGAACGTTTGCAAGCATCCGTGTGCGAGCGGCTCAGGACGATGGCTCATCTTCACGCAGATCTTCCAGTTCTTCTCTATTCCCCTCCCCACTGCTGCCTTTCCTGGGGGGGGGGGGGGCACAGAAGCAGATCATCATGACCAGCCCAAGGCTACCAAACGAGGCTGAGCACAGTCTAACAACCTGCAAACCAAACTAGACAGAAGTCACATTGAGTATGTAGAGCATATCAAAACACGAGAATCTCATTGAGCCACACAGGAAGCCACCCCTGGTCTCTGTGACAGAGACAGCACACAGACACATGCCTTTTCCATGGGACTGCATCAATTATCATCCATCCATCCATCCATCTGCTAACCAGTTATCCTGTACAGGGTGAGAGAGACCTGAAGCCTACCTCAGCAGGCCCAGGGGACACCCTGGACGGGATTCCAGTCAGTTACAGGATACACACGCACCATAGTTTTGAGATATCAAACTGACTGCATGTCGGCATGGACCGCAACCTGTGTGACGGGGGGAGAACAACGCCACACAGTGCAGAGTTTTTGGCTGTGCTTGTGTCCGGAAGGTTGTTGGTTGGAATCCCATGGCTCGCAGAGTGATAGCATCACTGCTGGGCACTTGGGCCTTAATTCAAAAAACTCTTCCGTGTGTTTGTGTGACTCAAAGACCATATTGGGATATCTGTACAAATAATAGTTCGCTATTAAAAAACGGTCACATGACTATGAAAAAGGCATCTGTCTGCAGATTATCAGCATGGTATAAAAAGGTGTTTGCAGGGGCACATTATTGATTTTTAGAAAAAGACCAACAATGGCAGGAAGCAGGAATGTGATTACCCATGGTGACCTACAGAGTGCTGAAGCCAGGCACCCCTCATGGTCACAGTCACAGCGGAATGATCAATGTAAACCAGCGTTCTTACAGGGGCGAGCCATTGACTGCACTAATGCGCACTGACCACCAGGGGGCGAGCAGGGGTATGGAGCAGAGTTTACCTTAAAGAAGGGTGTAGTTTTAAAGAGGAGCGGAACAGCCGCCTGTCCCTGCAGCAGAGAAGTGAGGGAGGGGGGTGAAAATCAGGACAGAAGCTATGGAAGCAATACCCGTCAGCACTTTGGGGGTGGGGGGGTACACCAAGCCCTGGCTGTGCGGGCAGGGCCCCAAGCGTCATCACGCCGGTCATGGCTTCTGCATTCATCGGAAAATTGGGTCAATGTCACTGACACAGCATGGGCACCGTGGAAACACACTTACCCTTCACTTCCCGTCTGACTCGATTGTGGACGAACAAGGAGCTTGTTTGGAAGTGAATCTATTGTGTAATTCACCCTGATTGTTTAAGCCATCAGCCAAAAAGAAAAGGCAGACTGATATCCCAGGGTAGCCTTCAAAGCGGCTGTAGATCTGAGAACCTCACGGACTGGACCAGCTTAAGCAGCGACACACTGACCCCTGCTGGCAGCCTGCAACTCGCAGGCGGTGCTACAGTTAGATGCGACATCTCGGCCTGTCCCACCCCCACCACCAGGGGGCTCCCTTTCACAGAAGGTGGAAAATCAACGACATGCATTAATGTAGAATCCTGAGGACAGATCATCCACTGCCCTACATCTGAAGAAGGGATCAGACACTACACAGTCTGGGGTGTGGGTCTATGCTCTATGAAGCCTTATCCATAAACGCATAACAGCAGCGGCAGCAGGACAGAACAACAGGCCTGCGACTTGTCAGGATTACAGTACCAAAGAAGTATTTAAGTTCAGTCTAATGGGGGTTTCCCCAAAGAGTGAACAGAAATGGCGCGAGGGAACTATAATCGGCAAGAAAACTTTGACTAAAAATACCGAGACCGCCAAATATGGGACGGGAGCACTGCAGCACTGCATATCCTGCTCCATACACCTATCAGGATTAAGGGGCAGGCTGACGAGGACCTGGTGAAGCAGGAAGCTTCTGGAACCGTCTGTACTGCTGAACGTGACACAACAGCAAAAGCAAATGGCGCCCCCTGGCTGCTTCAGGCACGATTTCTCAGAGCTTACTGAAAATGTGTGGTGAGATCCCTTAAGCCCCGCTAAGGTTTGAATGTATTGTTTGCTGCTCGGTTAAAAAACAAAGTTATACAAAAACACTGTGCTTTAATGATGAGACAGCTACACGTCTGTGAACGGGTGCATATGCGTTACCCCTGTCTGGCAGATGGAATCCCGGACAGGAATCATTACTAGACAATAAATGTAAGATGGTTTATTTAAAAAATGAAGCCCAATGAATCAGTGACTTTATTCATGATGGAGAGCAGATATACAGATCTGAGGTATACCGAAAATCACATCAAAAGCACTGCTAATTTGTTTTACTGCAGATTTAAAACTGTCATGAATGTACACGCCAACATAAAAGTGCTACAGATGGATTTGTACCCAGTCAAAGCACGGGCTGTTACACCCCCCGCGGTCAATGAAAAAATGGCGAGAGCAACTGGACGGAAAACTACCTTTGGTTGGCAATCGTGGGTCGCATGCTTGAATACCAACCCCCAGGGGGCAAAGCCGGAATCACACCTGGCTAGTCACACACAGGGTAATGTTTATCCGCTGAAAATGGCCTCATGCCTGTTTTAGTACCAGAGATGGGGACAGGTCTGTACCACTGATTAATATATAGTGCCCCCTGGAGGAGGCTGCTGGATGTCGACGCATGTCATGGCTCTAACAGCGACCCATTACACGGGTAAACTAATCTGAGACTGACTGCAGACTCACTGCTCTGGGGGGATGTGGGGCAGGACACTGCTTCACGTCACAAACGAAGAGTGGGTCCTGTCACCCACTCACCCACTGACGTCTGTCACAATCCAGAGACTCGTATGCTTTCCCAGACACTGTATTTATTCTGGCATCTGCTTAGTGACACGATTGGGGGGGCGGGTGGGTGGGCAAAAAATGACCCCAAAAATATGCGTGACATTAGAAATTAAAATCACTTAATCGTAAATCGTGTGGTAAAGGTTGGCCTTTTGATTAATCTGCATTAAAGGATTTAATTAAGCATGTAGCACTGCTCATTGGGTGAATGGGCGCACTGCACTAACACTGGAATCCCATACGCCGCCCAGCATGGAATCACCTGTCCACAGCGCCCCCCTGTGGTGTCACCACGCCTTGACAAGCTCGGAGGCTTGCAGGAGCAGGGGCGGGGCCATGGAGAGCTCACCCTGAGGTGTGCAGGGCTGGTGTGCGTGTGCACCGAGAGCGTCGCAGTATCGGGGGCTGGCGTGCGAGTGCACTCACATGAGCAGGTTCCCTGGGGCGGACATGGAGCGCTCCTCCCGCCGGCTCGGGCACTCAAAGGGGTTGCTGAAGGATCGCTTGCGGAGCATGGCCTTCACCAGGATCTGCAGAGCCAAGAGCCCCCAGAAACCACGTCACAAATGGACCATCGCCTACAATCCAGCTGGAATTTCAAATACAGTTAACACACACACACACCTCACTCCAGCTTTCCGGGTTACGGGAATTACACCCAAGCTCTGCTCTAATTACTTGGCCACTGGAGTGTGACACCGACGAGCTGATCGAGGCCCCCTGGGATTGCAGTGCCAGAAGCCTCTGGTGTTAACCTATCATGCCAGGCCACACCGAGGTCCTTACCACTGCAGACAAACTGGGGATGAACTTCACGGAGTTTTTCACTTCCTCCTCGGTGACCTCCACTGCGGAGCAGTGGTCCTCCTCCAAGGGCAGGGGGTCCATACCATCTTGGGTCAGCCAAGGGTGTACCTGTCAGGCCCAAGAAGGAGGTGATGTGTGTGTGTGTGTCGGGGGGATGGGAGATATGAACCCAATGCTTCAGAGCCGTGAGGTTGGCTGGTTGCTAAGAGGCAGCCTGACGACCGTTCCCCCCCCCCCTCAGAGTCTCCAATACAAATGACTCTCTGAGACCAAGGCCACAGGAGGATGGCGGTTCCAACAATGTTAATACTCTTTCTGCTTGCTTGACAATCGCCTCAGGAACCAAAACGGAACCATGGGTCTCCTGTGGCGCGAGCAACTTCCTGCTGCACAGAACGGGCAGCGAGGGCTGCATGGGGGACGGCAGCGAAGGCTGATTTTAAACATGGTCCCAGTCCACAAACCCCCCTGGGGGGTGAAGACACGCTTAGATCAACAACCTCAGGTGATGCTCTGGGACACCTCATTTCCTCCATACCAATTACTCCACTAATTAGTTCCTGTACGCTGGTTGCAGGAAGAGGGGAAAAACAAACGAGAGGGGTGACGGACCTCCGGCGCGTGGGGGGGGGGTTCCTCGACCAGGACTCACCTTGATCTCCGGAATGGTGATCCTCGTATCTGGGTTTTTGTCCAGCATCCGCAGGATAAGACTTTTCAGCAGCTCGCTGATGACTGGTCTGCAATGGCAAAGGGGAACTCGCTCAACACCCAGGCCTGTGGATGCAGGATGTCACGCCACGGACTGGGGGGTTGGGCGAAGGAGAGGGCAGGGGCCTCACTCAAAAAGTACCCCCCCAGATAATTAAAAAACTAAATAAATAACAGTATCGTTACATCATAGGTAGCCAGCTATTTACGAGAACATGATGCTTCAGCATTTCCTAAATGAGGAATGTGTTTATTTAATTATTAGTGTGGTGACTGTTTGTGGCCAACAGGGGGCACCCAGGCCTTTGGGGCCCAATGCAAATGGTGGTTAACACTGTCACTAAGGGGGGGCACACTGCATCACTGCAGGCTATGTGTCAGATTATGAAAACAAATTGATATTAACACCCCCAGACAAGCAAAGCACACAGTTTGAGCAGACGGCCCTGCATGGGGTCTGTGGGGGGGGGCACACATTTACGTGTGAATCACCATTTGAACCTATGTCCCTGTGCTACATCACCCAAGCCCACTGGCCTTTGAGGATACAGAAGGCTCATATACATTTTTTATGGCCTATGTTTCATGTCCCTCCACCCATTCCCCACCCACCGTCCGAAGAGAGAGCAGCGGCTCAGATGCCGATGGCCCCCCCTCAAATTGAGGCTAAATAAGGTGCCGTAAGACACTCACGTCTCCAGAAACTCCACAGGCTTGTTCTTGATCTTGCTGTGCAGGGCCAGGATGTACTCGTCTATAAAAGGACACTGCGGGAAGAGGAGCGGAGGCCCGACTGAAACACACCCCCCCGAGAACGCTCGGGAACCATCCGGAACCAGGACGCTCTTTGAAACCTCTCCTATCTTACATATCACAGCCGACAAACCCGCTTCACTGATTTATCTAGGCTTACAGAGATTAACATGTGTGTTTTTTCTGTGTTTATGAAGACTGGCGTTGGCCAGCGTGTGGGAGGGAGGGGGGCACATTTCACACTCCCCCCACCCTATTGCGGACTTGCCTTGCCATAAATGAAACAGTACAGCGTCACACCCATGGCCCAGACGTCAAGAGCCTGAAAAGAAAGACCAGCTGTTAAAGAAACAGATAGCATGTTCACAGGAGAAGTACTCAGCAGGGAAGGGTGACTACTCAGTGAGCAGATGGGGCCTTAAAGTGCAGATGAGTGGACATAAGATAAGATAAGATAAGATAAACCTTTATTAGTCCCACAAGTGGGAAATTTGCATTGCCACAGCAGAAAGTGGACAGTACAAGAATAGAGCAGCACAAATTATAAAAACTATATATATGTACAAGTGGAAATATATAAATATAAATATATGTACAACACTGTGGAATTGCACTCAAGAAATATTGCAAATATGAAAAACACCCTGGTGTATTGGATGTGTGTGTTTTGTTAGTCTATGTGTGTGTGGTCTGCTGCAAGGACTTTGTTATAGAGTCTGACAGCGGAACATGGGACACGGGTGTCGTCGGTATTAGGCAGCAGAGATTGGTCAGGTTTGGTGCGGTTAGGGTTAGGTTTAGGTTTAGGGTTAGGGTTAGGTTTAGGGGACCAGTGTGCTACGTGTCGCTATATGATGTATATATGTGGGAAGGGACAGCCAGTAACACCGGAGAGCATGGGGGCGGAGCAGATGATGACCTTAACTCCTACCCAGCCCTAACCTTAACGGTAAGGGATGTCTTTGCCAGCTCACAGGAAAACACATCTCTCTGTTTTAACGTGCCCAGTTACAACTTCAAAGCTGGAATGTAATCTGACGGGATTCCTGGAATCACTGTTGAGATGTCACCTTGCAATTACCTTACCATCACCATGCCCCTCTGGCCGATGTTCATTCCATGGCTTTGAAAGAACCACCTCCACCTCGGTGTTGCAGGAGACATGCTTTACCCCATGATGATCGGGAATGTGATGGAAAAGGCTGCCTGCATCGCAGTGCTCGCTGTTCCCTGGCCCAGGTACTGACCCAGCCTGCATATTGCTATGTGAGCACGGACCTGCTCCGTATAAGAAGCGACACCTCTGGCCTGGCCAGGTCCTGCGCTCACCTTCCCGCTGAAGCTCTGCCGGCTGTCGGACAGTGCCTCCGGAGCCATGAAGGCGGGCGTCCCAGCCGTGCTGGACAGCAGTGCGTCGTTGCCCTCAAATTGGTTGCTGACGCCGAAGTCAGTGATCTTGACATGGCCATCGTCCCCCAGCAGCAGGTTGGACGGCTTGATGTCTCGGTGGACAATCTTCTGGTAGTGCACTGGGAGAGAGACACAGTGGATGAGAACCCAGCATCGGCCTGAATGGTCCACTTAGGGAGACGTTAATGCGGTTAGATAAGTCGCACCTGGTCTGTGACCACCTCCACCAGGCACAACCTTTGAAGCACTGTGAGGGTTTGGGAAGCTCTTAGCAATTAAATTTTTTTTTTTTACAGCATTTCACCTCACACTCTGAGAGGACTCATGAGGGCAAACGCATAGCCAATTGGCCATAGGCCAATTAGACAAATGTAGGCCTGCATTTAAGATAATTCGATTGACTCATAGATCTGTAACTATTACAAGGAAACCGTCAAGAACATGCAAATGCGGGTAACATGCTAAAACTGGCAAGAAATAAACAAAAGCGCAAACACCGTCATGGAAAATGGCTTTCGGTCATCCTTGAAAAGATTCTAGCAAATGATCAGGCGAGTCAGAAAGGAAAGCAGGGCTTTGCCCATGCTGTTCACAACAGGGATGGAGTCGGGCAGTGGGAGGCAGTAGGAGGCAGTAGGAGGCAGTGGGAGGCAGTGGGAGGCAGTAGAAACAGTGGACTCGGAGGAAGACTCGTCTATCACTGGGGCTGAGGTCACTGAGGTAGTAAAAAAAACTCTTCAGTGGTATGACTCCAGGTATGTATGAGATTCGCCGGAGTTCCTGAAAGCTCTGGATGTTGTTGGACTGTTGCAGGGAGATCAGGGACAGAGCTTCTGGACTGGACTGGACTGGACTGGTCCCAATCTACACTACAAGTCAAAAGTTTTTGCACACACTGAGATTTTCTACATTGGCATGTTATTTAACATTTACTAAAAATACATTCAATATTCTTTGCTAACTAATAAACTTACAGTAAGTTCACCATTTGAGTACATTTATTAGCAAGAAAATGTCATATCTTTGATTCATCAAAGTAACGCCCTCTAGCAGTTATAACAGCAGACATTCAAGGCATTCTTTCTAGAAGGTAAGTCAAATATTGCTCTGTTTCATGGGATGAAACCGTTAACTAGTGCATTTAAAGTTAAAGGACAGCCTAGAATTTGAGTGTGCCATCACCACACAGCCAGATGATAGGATTGTCAGACATGCATTGTTACGTACTCTTTCCATGTTATAAAGAATATTGTTTTGACTAGTATTTTCATTTATAGTTGATCCAACTTTCCAATGCTTAACAAAAATTTAAATCTGCAGTTTATGAAATAAATGGAAAAGTGGTAAAAACCAGCAGTGTGCAAAAAACTTCTGACCTGTAGTGTATCTCAGAGTCTTGTTCACGAGGGAAGTTACAGGAGATCGGCAGGCGGACTGGTGCAGCGTCAGTAGTTATGCAGACGTTGCACAAATTTTAGGTAGTAAAGAGAGAACTGATCCAGAAGGCAAATCTTTCGAGTTGCCAATTGATCTATCTTTTTCCCTTTACCTATGGTCTTGAGCTTTGGGTAGTGATGGGGAATGAGCTTCCTTCTCAGGGTAACTGGGCTAAGCCTTAGAGACAGGATGAGGAGCTCAGACATTTGGGAGAGGATCAAAGAAAAGCCGCTGCTCCTCCACATCGAAAGAATGAAGTGGTTCAGACATCTTACTAGGATGCTTCCTGAATGCCTCCCTGAGGAGGTGACTTGGGCACATCCAACTGGGAGGAGGCCCCAGAGCAGACCCAGAACATACTGGAGAGATTACAGTCTCGGCTGGCCTGGGAACACCTTGGCAACCCTCTGGAGGAGCCGGAGGAGGTGGCTGGTAAGTGGGAGGAGGCATCTCTGCTTAGACTGCTGCCCCCCAGCCCCAGACCTGGATGAGAGCGAGGAGGAGGGATGGCTGCCATTGGATACTGGTGCCATTAACAAAATGCAGCTGCCACTCAATAAAAGAACTGGAGAAATGTGTGAATGTTTTCCATGCACCTGCAAAACCCAGAAAAATGGGATTCCCCTTTTCTCAAATTGGCGAGAGTGGCGCAATTGAGATAAATGATCGTCTGTCGTTAATCAGCATGGATTACAGAGAAAGGCAATTTCTTTATGCCCCCTTGAAGAGAACAGGGGTAACGTCAGGCCCCTTCTGTCACCCTGTGGAGACAAGTGCTCCCAGACGGAGCAGACGTGACCTGTGTGGACTCACGGTATTCGATGCCCAGGACAATGTCCCTGAAGTACAGGCGGGACTGGTCCTCTGTGAAGGGGTTATCTGTGGGCACCTCCATCACTGGACTGGGGGGGGGCAGAAACGCAGAAATCCTACACACAGCCTTGATTGGTTCATAGATGCCTCCCAGTGCATGTAATAATATCTAATGGGCTCCAGGAAACAAACATAAAATGTACAGGCAGCTTGACTGACATGAAAAGCGACTTTTGGACTATCCAGCCAATTCAAAAAGAGAGCATATTCCTGTATGTCATTTTACACTTTTCATCTATTTAATGTTCTTAAGTACATATTTCTAGTATATTTTTTACACTTATGTATTTTTTGCTATAA